AAAATATATCTTCCAACCTGGCTATATTCTGTTAAGCCATTGGCAGAAAGCAGCTTTTTTATTAACCAACAAAAGCAACACATATATAGAAGGACATTGCACACCAGGGATCAAACCCACAGCAGATGGGATGTCATGGAAATGACAGCCCATCTCCAGCCTGGCTCACTTGCTGTGAGGTACCCAGTAGGGCACAGGGAGACCCTGTCCTTGATGGATGTGATGGGAGGGGACAAGTGAGAAGACAAGGTCACCGGACACAAAGACTGGGTAGATGAATAGTGGAGTAACTGACAAGTACTTTAAATAACTGCTCACAGATGCCAGGGTGGGATGGAAGTGGGCGGGGGCTGTTGGCACAGGCCTGTGATCCCACACTCAGATGACAGAGGGGATGGGGCCCAAGTCCATCCCACCCTTTACAGGACTCACACAAAAGTCTCCTTAACTCTGCCTGCAGCTATGCCCTCCAGGTGCCTTGAGGTGTGAGACAAGTCACATGGCCATCCCTGGCGTGTAAGATGCCAAGCTCCTTCCACTCGAGGGGCTCTCATGAGGGGGACTTGAGACTGAGGTCCAGTGAGCTGGGTGGATGTTCCTGTCCACTTCCCAGGGCACCTGTCATGACAGACAATCTTAGAAGAGAGACTATAACAATAGAGAACGAGTTCCTAGGAGTTTTGTTTTTGCCCCTGCTTATTCAGTCATATTCCTTGAACCCCAGCCTCGTGCCTGACGTTGTGTGGCTCTGTGTCTCTGCGCTTACACTCTGGGAGAGAAAGCTACAGCCAGCGGGATGTCCACAGACATAGGAGCTGCTCCAGGAGCTCAGGCAGACTCGGTGTGGTTCACTGTGGGTTGGTGCCCACTCTACAGGAATGAGTTCAGTATCATCTCAGCAAGGTCTCATTTAAACAAGAACATGGGTGCCGAGAAGACCGGCCCCTCCGAGGTGGGGTTAGGAAAGCACAGGAGGCCACACCCAACTTCATGGTGGGAGGCGCTTAGCATTTAGGAGCTAACATTGAGGAGGACAACCTGGGAGTGGGGGAGTGGGGGGGGACAGGTGAGTTAAAGATGGACACAGTGACAGGTTCTGGTTCTAGCATATTTGGGTGTGCTGATCCGCAGCCTCTACCATGAGCTGGATGCTCTCCATCTGGACTCACATCGCTGCAGGTTTTTGTCACCTACCGCGAGAGATGTTGAAATCTGCCACTCGGATGGGGGAAGGCCTTTTTGATTTCTGTTGCCACTTTCCCTGTAGGTTGAAGCTCTGTGGTCGGGCTCACACATGATGTCACTGGTATATCACTACAAGAAGTGCCCTGCCTCTTATTTCAGTCCTCTTTTGTCCTAAACTGGCTTCTTTCTCCCTGTGCTGTGGCCAGAGCCACAGCTTCTCCTTGTGAGAGACCGGGGAGGCTCGTGTCTTTACAGTGCCTCTTTGTAGGTACAAGAGTCCCACTGACCATTCCCATCCTGGCAATGCCTGCTCTCCAATGAGTGATTTTAGATATCGTATTCATATTGCAGAGTTTGCTGAAATTCTTTAGTCTGTCTGTTTACATCTTTAAACAACTCTGGAGCCACGGGGACAGTTATCTCTTAGAGCACACGCTCTCCTCTCTTCCAGGACTCTGGTCGTATTTTCATGATTGATGGATATTATCCTGTTGGCCTCAGCACTATGATCAGTTTTTCTTTCAATATTTTTTCTTCCTCTTCTGCAAATTGGATTTTGTCTCAGCTTCTGCAGCCTGCTGTCCCATCCATCCGCCGAATGACTTATTTCAGATTCCAGACTTTCACTTCTGACAATTCCAGTTGATTTTTTTAATAGCTGCTGTCCTGTTTTCATTTCTGTTGCTGTGATAAAATACCTAGACAAGAACCTTGAAGCAGGAGGATGGGATTATTCTGCTTAAAGTCCTGGGTCACAGTCTGTCGCTGAAGTCAAGCCAAGAGTCTGAAGCAGGTCACATTATAGGCAAGAGTAGAAAGACCCTAAGGTTGCTCCTTGCTAACTTGCTTTAGGCTAACTTTCTCCTCTCAGCCCATTCAGGATCTCCCTTCTGCACCTGGTGAACAATGCTGCCCAGGATGGACTGGACCTTTTCACATTGATTAACAATAAAGACAGCGTCGCATGGATCCACCTGCTGTAGAAAATCACTCAGCATTCCTGTCTTCTAGGTGATTCTAGGCTCTAACACGTTGATGTTCAACTAGAGTAGCATGGCCGTTTCCTTCTGCTGCCACCCATCCTACCTTTTATCACACACGTGTTCTTTCTAATTCCAATCACTGGTGTGCAGCGCTTGCCCTGATCATTCCAGCCCCGATCTTGCTGCTGAGCTGCTTTTTCCTGCGTGGCTCCATCTCTGCACATATGGAGAGCAGTGCAGTCCACAAAGGCGTGCTCAACCCCAGAGAGGGTGTGAGTTGTTTAGTGCCAGCAGCCACACCCCTGCGCGGCATGCCACCACTGAATCTGGTTCGGCTCCTTAGCCATTCTGGGCTGCTGAGGTTGGCCATGCCCAGATGCCCATCATGTGCTCGGCAAGTTTGGTAGAATGAATATCTGTGTGGATTCTGGAGCCCACCTTTGTGGCTTGTTATCTCCAGAATGTTCTTCTCTCATAGTTTCTGTTTGATGTCCCTTCTCCGTTATCCCTGTCTCTTAGGTCTCTCTGCAGTGCTTCCTTGAATTGACAGTCATGGTCTCAGGAAGACCACTCTGCTCCAAGGTTGTTGTCTGGGTTTGATGGGTTTTCAGTGATGCACAAGCATGGATGATGGGTGCAGCACGTAGGCAAAGAGTCAACAGTGATCCCTGTAACCAGGGTGGGACATGGCAACTGTGATTCATGGCGAGTGGCTAGCTAGGGCTCCCTTAGATAACCCCAGATGGAGATGCTCAGCAGGAAAGGTCACATGTGCGGCCCCTCTTGCTGATGTCTGTGGGCCTGACAGCTTTCCCTAGGGTGTGTGTGGCTAGTGACAAAAGCCTTACAGAGTGCCCAGTGCTCTGAAGACAGTGGGAGACTGAGTGAAATGAAGGCAAAGCCCTGGAGATGCGGAGCTCAGATCCCAGAGAGGGGGAGCTATGGACACAGCTGCGGCCTGGGCAGTGACATGTTCAACCATGTGTGTTGCCCAAGCAAAGAGTTGACTGCCTGAAGGGGGAATGCTGTCACCACTGACACTGTGTCTGTACTTTAGCATGGGGACACCTCTAACGTGGTCCCACTTACATAAGTACCCAATCAGCCCTTCTACCAGGATTGGATGTAGTGTTACTAAATCAAGAATTCCTTTAGGCCAGCAGAGCCACCGCTGATGGCCTGTTATTTATTTAGTGATCTTTCTGAAAGAAAGTGAGGTGTAAGTTCAGCGCTGGTCCCATGCTTGCTCTACTCTGTCTGGTGTTCACACAGCTTTTGTCAGACTCAGGATTCGGAGCATAGACACTGGGCCGTGCCTCATTTGTTCACGAAGCCGGGATTGTCTGTGTAACTACTGCCAGAGACAAATCATGGAAACTTCCAGAGAATGAGCATGTGACCCACCAGATGCCACTCTGCCTCACTTGCGCCCCATTATGTGTATGTTCAGGATATTAGTTTTGGGGTGGTGCACCATGGCTTGAGGTCATTTGCATGTCCAGGGACAAACCTTGGTCTCTGGTTGAGTCAGATCTGTTCTAGCTCCAAGCCTGCTGGCATTAACCCTCGAATCTCCCAAGACCAAAATGTACCCAGAGCAATCACCAAGCAGAGGAAATGAACCAAACCCTAGTCCTTTCCTTTCTGGTGGCTTGGGTGCATTGTACCTGACTTTGGCCACCCGGCAATGCCATCTATGCTGCTGCCATGTGGTTAGTTTTTAGAAACTGAGGTAGGCTGGTTGAATCAGGTTGGTTAGGCCAGCTTCGCTGCACTGCCGAGAGCCTCTGATCCGCTTGAGCTGGTCTTATGGTGACTGTCTTCTGCCCCAAGAAGACCCCATTCTAAGCCCCAGAAATCCCATAGGCGTGCATGCTAGCCACCATGCTACACATGATGGGATCTTGGTAATTTCTCAGTGTGGGAACCTGCTGTTACAGGGCCTCAGTGGTGATGAGCTATGTATGACCTCGTCCGTATGAGAAATCCTCGTAGGACTGACTGGCTTTAATTCTAGTATGTGAACACCAGTCTGTAAGGTCAAAGCTACTCCCACAAGGAAGTCCCTGTTTCTGCCAGCCCAGGTGGACAACAGCTCTCAGGTGTGGCACCATGTGTGTAACCAGGTTATGCACAGCAGCGTGGGGTGCGGAAGGTGTCTCTACCTTCATAGTTCATTGTCTTCAGTCTTGTGTTGTCAAAATATGTCTGTAAAGAAATGGGAACCGCTTTCTGACCAGGGACCTCTTGTAGTCAGATAATAGCAATTTGGACCGTTCCTTCATAGGACAGTTGTCTCTAAACCCCATCTCATTGTTTATTCAGCTGGCAACCTTTCCTAGCATAGCATTTGACATAATAGTGTGTCCTTCCTTCCTTCCTTCCTTCCTTCCTTCCTTCCTTCCTTCCTTCCTTCCTTCCTTCCTTCCAACTGTTTTGCTGCTAGCCTGGGCTAGCCTTGGCTACACTCTTCCATCTCTGCCTCTGGAGGGCTGGGATGCACAGCCATGCACACCACGCAAGGCCTGCATTTACAGTAAATGGTACACCATTTGCAGCAGTGCTGGAAAAGCAGTGCTTTTATCCAGTAGTGTGCTCCACCTCCACATACACGCTTCCTTCACATGACTTTAGAAACCTGCTGATGAATCCCCACCAATTTCCCCTGCTGATCCTGGAACTCTGGTAGAGCGTGAACCAGCTCCATCTCAGAGCTGAAACACAGCCAGGCTGGAAGATCTGGAGAGAACTGGCCAGGCAAGTGGTCCCTGGCTTCTGTGCTGCGGGATAACTGTGGCCACGGTTATCTTTATTTCCATATGAAAATGTCACCAGAGAGGGAAATCCATTTGTGTTTCCAGCTGGGCCTAACTTGATGCAACCTTGTTATCACCTCATGCGAAGCGGTCATTTTTTTGGGAATCGCTGCCTTAGTAATTTGTCTTATCTCTCATGGGGAAGGGTTCCTGACTGGGTCAGTCATGGTTCTAAATAAAGCTGGTTTCTAGGAAGCTGCAAGCTAATTTGACAATCTCCGGAAATCTAGATAAAAGAGTACGAGAAACTGGACAATGAGGAGGACCGGCTGCGCCGGAGCCGCCAGATGTATGATGCCTACATCATGAGGGAGCTCCTGTCCTGCACACATGTAAGTGTCCCATTCAGCTCCCCAGACAGCACCCATGGGGGTTACACTGCCCCTCCCCCCATTTCCAGAAGGGAGCTCAGCTACACAGCTGCAATCCTGGGGTGGGGTCTGGGTCTCCTTTTCTCCCATAACCATGCAGTTTTCTGACTCGGTGTCTCCTGCTACATATATGCTTGCTTTATTCCCTGAAGTCAATCTTGGTACTGCGGGCAGCTGATGCCATGAGAGAGGGCTTGTTTGGATCGAGAAGAAAGGTTTCTATTCTAGACTTGATGAAGGAATTGAGGATTTACTCTCATTCTTAGTCTCATTATTATTTGACAGGGTCTCTCTATGTAGCCCAGGCTGAACTTCAACTCCCGATCCTTTTACCTCAGTGTCCTACATGCTACACCACCACACCTAGATGATGATGTGATGGTGATGTGATGATGTGAGGATGATGTGATGATGAGGTGATGATGATGTGATGATGTGATGATGATGATGTGATGATATGATGATGTGATGATGATGTGATGATGATGTGATGATGTGATAATGATGTGAAGATGATGTGATGGTGATGTGATGATGATGTGATGGTGATGTGATGATGATGTGATGGTGATGTGATGATGATGATGATGTGATGATGTGATGATGTGATGATATGATGATGATGTGATGATGTGATGGTGATGATGTGATTATGATGATATGATTATGATGTAACAGTAATTATGATGTGATGATGTGATGATGATGTGATGGTGATGATGGTGATGATGTGATGATGATGTGATGATGATGGTGATGATGCGATGATGATGATGCGATGATGATGATGTGATGATGTGATGATGATGTGATGATGTGGTGATGATGTGATGGTGATGATGTGATGATGATGTGATGATGATGATGGTGATGATGATGATGTGATGATGATGTGAGGATGTGATGGTGATGTGATGATGTGATGATGATGATGTGATGGTGATGATGATGTGATGATGTGATTATGATGATATGATTATGATGTAACAGTGATTATGATGATGATGTGATAATTAGTGTTGCTGTATTGTTTAGAATTGAACCCAGGTTCTTATGCTTGCTATGCAAATACTACTAAGCCATCTCCCTAGCCTTGCTTTATTAGTTTTAATTTAGCTGCACTTTAACAATTAGGTGAATCAGAATTCGATTAATATAAATCTTCAGTGATGTCTTGGGATTAATAAGAACTATAAATATTATGTTAATTTTATTCATGAACAGTTAAGTCAATTTTTTTCACGAATATTTAAATAATGGTTGAAATTATTGTCTTCCTTAGAAGTTAGATAAACAATCTAATTGAGATAAACTAGATTCTTAGAAACTAACTTCACCAGAAATAAGTGGACTAATTATCAATGTGGAAATTACCATGAGGATGCCTCTCTATCAATGTGGGCCATTTTATAAAGGACACACAGTCTTTACCTACTCGGTCCAGGGCCTTGGCCACCAGCCACATAGGCTGTTTGAGTTTATTTAAAGCAATTAAAATCAGATGAAATTGCTCCCTGTCAACCACATCTGAAGTATCCTGTAGCTTTGTGTGCCCAGAATCTCTATATGTGGCAACACAAGGGCAGAGCACTGTACTGTGGCAGGAAGGCTGACTGGATGGTCCTGCCATGACTTAGCACTTAGGGTGTGGTTACAGTTCTCAGTGATGCTATGAGCGGCTGTACACGAGCTGGCCCCTCTCGGAGCTTCTATTGCTTTACTGTGCTTTATAGAAAGAATTGGGGCTGGGTGGATGCTCACTTTATGCCCTGGTGCCTTGTCTTGTGGAACCTATGTGAATTTGACTTTCCTCAGCTGAGCTACGGGAGGAGGGGCTTTGGCAGAGTGGGTTTTATTCAAAAGGCTTGTGGCGATTATCCTCCAGATTAAGTGAGATTTATGTTCAGGAGTTAGAAGCAATGCTCTCAGAACCTTTAACAAGCCATGAGTAGCAGCTGGGGGGGGGTAGTGACGCATGCCTTTCCCAGCACTCAGGAGGCAGAGGCAGGTGGATCTCTGTGAGTTCAAGGCCAGCCTGGTCTACAAGAGCTAAAACAAAACAAAAAACCCATAAAAACAAAAACAAACAAACAAAAAAACAAGCCATAAAAACATGCCCATGCCGCTTGACTCCCTCTATTCTGAACACTACAGAGATTTAAATGACCAGACTCAGAAAGCTGGCCTCTCCCTGACAGGCCTGTGTGTGTGTTTGCTGCTATGAAGGGTGAATGGCTTCTCCCTGAAAGCCTTTTCCTGTATGGGTTTTCTGAGGAGGTGGCTGTGGTAGTGAGGATGTCTCAGATGGGAAGCATACTTTCATGTTTCTATGAATTACAAGAAATGTAGGAATCCCATTAATCAGTCATAAACAATTTGAATAAAGCAGTCTACATTGATAGGTTTCTGGAAGATAAAATTTGTAACCCACATGGAAGGAAGTTCCATTCTTTTTGCCCCAGCTGCCCTCTGCTGGGGTGGCAGTGAGACCTCCCAGACCCAGAGCCAACTGCCACTGTGGCCTGGCTTGGAATTCTTGTGCTGAATTCCCACATACATATTCCTGTATCCGTCTTCTCTGACACAGCAGACAGTTTACCTCTATAGAGCCAGCATCAAGGAAGGAAGAGGTTATGTAGTCAGGCAGTGGTGGGATTTCTTATACTCTGTTGCCATGGGAACTTTGATTACTGAGGGTTCTATTCTGGGCACTTAAACAAGGGCTATGGATGCTCAGAAGACACCATGTGCTTGGACTGTGTGCAGAGAGCCCACAGGTTACTCTTCCAGGATCTCTGTGTCAGCCATTTGTTGTAATGTGTGATCTGTAGACATGTCCTTGTTAAAATTATGATGTCTTCCTTCCTTCCCTCCTTCTGTTATTTTTTCTAAGACGTTCTCCAAACAAGCTGTGGAACATGTCCAGAGTCATCTCTCCAAGAAGCAGGTGACAGCCACTCTTTTTCAGGTAAGATAAGATGGCTTCCACACAGATGCCCCTGACCTGCCTCCCAGTCAGACCTGATAATGTTGTTCTCAACAAGCAGAACTGAATCCACGTGGGTCCTCTTCTGCAACCTGCCGCAGAGCCAACAGGTTTCCCCAATGTTCCCGGAAAGGGGCTACTGCAGTGTTTTCATAACGATATGTTCTGGAAATCCACTGAGCTAAGACAGAGTTGAGCCTTCCTCCTGCTCGGCACTTGGTGTCTATGAGGAGTGGAGTACTATGGCTTCTAGTGATTATCTACTGGATTAAGTGAGATTTATGTTCAAAAGTTAGAAGTGATGCTCCAGGAACCTTCAGGGTCCCATGTCACTTGACTGCTTCTGTCCTGAACACTACAAAGATTTAACACAAGACTTGGAAAGCTGGCTCTCATGCTGATGGGCCTGTGTGTGTTTGCTGCTGTTTAGGGTTTTTGGTAGCCTAGGTTTTCTGTAGAGGTGGCAGTAGTCATGAGGGCAATCCGAGTCTCAGATAGGTACCATCTGTTCATGTTTCTGTGAATTATAAGAAATGAAGGAACCCCACTAATCAATTAGTTCTCAAAAGTGAAATGAATGCATTCCTCCTTTATTAGGTTACCAGGTTGTTTATAGTGAGCTACACTGGGATAGCCCAGGCTAGCCCCCGGATCCTCTACCACCCTGGGGAAATTACAGGCACACATGACTGTACCCCCCTGGTTTTGGATTCAGTGTCTTAGAACATTACAAACTTCTACAAAGCAAAGTCAGTAATTCTCAGATTTAGAGCACCCATCTAGTGACATGCCGGGCATTCCTTTCCTCTCGCACAGTCCCAGATGCTCCCAGAGTTAGGTCAGAGCCTGTGTCCCTGGCAACACCAACAAGCTGCTTGAGTACCGGTCATCAGTAAGAAATACACATGCGCGAAGTTCACAGTGAAACACAGAGGAAGGGGATTTCTGAAGCATGGCCAAACTGGGGAGGAGGACAAAGGACCCCACCCTACAGCCATCGTCTAGGGCCTGACGTGAGGACGAGGTTCAGGTAGGGGGCCGTCTGCTATCTCAGGTGTGTCCAGGCTGCCGCGTCATCCTGCAGGGTGTTCTGACTGCTCTCAGAACCACATAATGACACCATGCCTCAGCCTTTTTCTCCCTTGAGTGTGAGATTCCTGGGAAAAATCTAGTTCTCTGGGACCTTGTTTCATAGTTTGGTGACTGCCAGGGGGACACAAGTATCTTTTTCGATTGTCTTCATCCCCGCCAGTCCAGTCACAGGAGGAGTCCATGCTTCAGCTCTGGTCTGCTGCAGTTTCTGAACCCAATAGGGCACTGGCTCTCATAGGAGCCTTGAAGTTGGAGTGGGCACACACAGGATGCTTTCCAAGGGGCCTGCCCGTCTCGCCATCCCATAAATGAAAGCTGTGATTAGTATCACAGTCAGCGTGGTACTAATGTCTGCATTGCTGTTTCCATGGATTGTAGTGTGAGAACTTTAGGTTTCAACTGATTTGCATAGATAGCCCTCAGCCAGTCACATGTGACATTGCTGGACTGTACCATAGACTACATGGCATGTAGATAGCCCATAGCCAGTCACGTCTGACATTGCTGGACTGTACCATAGACTGTATGGATACAGATAGCCTGTACCCAGTTGTGTCCTGATGCTGCTGGGCCGTATGATCTGTTGCTTGTCATGTCACTCGAAGTTCCCACAAGGGAGACGAGATACAGCATGAGGTCAGATTTATCTTCTAGGAACAACAGTGACTGCTCGCAGTAAAGAGTTTTGCTCAGCTTTTAGCCAGCTGGGATGCTGTGTCCAAGATCAGGATTAGAAGCCCTGCAGTCCAGCTTCCCTCTAGGCTGCCTCTTCTCATGGTGGGGGCTTGAGGCCGGAGAGTTGAGGGCAGGGCACAGGGCTTATTCCTTGATAACTACCCTCTCATGAGAACTGACCAGAGTCCCTGGAGAACTGTATCAATGCCTTCTGAGCCCCTTGGGGCGCTGTCCACCTCCTGCCCACCAGTACTGCCATGTGCTCCTGTCTTCTCTAGCCTTATATGCTCCCTCTGCCCAGCCATATCCCTTTCTGTTTCCATTTTCCTAATGTTGGGAATAAAGGTGTGAGCCACTACTGCTTGGCTTTGCTTCTCTATTAGACTAGATCTATCTTTTATAGCCCAAAGCATCACCATGCTGGAGACCAGGCTTCCAATATATGACCCCGGAGACGTGTGCAGCCACACTCAACCCTTGGCTCCTTCCATATTCAGATTTCAGCCTTAGTGACAAGGGAACAAGGTCTCTGTAGGCCAGTTCTGACGACTACGAAGACTACGGTAGAAGTGGCCCCAGAGCACTCTCATTTAGAAGCTGCGTGGTTCAAGGCAGCATCCTCATAGCCTGGTAATGAACTGGATGAATGGCTGGACAGAAGGACTGAGGACCATCACCTAGTGAAGTCACTTGTAGCTTAGAGCTCAACACAAGTGTGTTACAGCAAACACAAAGCCATCAGTTAATATTCCATGTGTTTGCCAGTCTGGTTTGGAGGAAAATAAATTGCATCAGTGCATTTGTAGGGGGTTGAGGGGCCCAGCTGGAGGTGGGACGGGGCCCAGCTGGTGGGTGACTGAAACATGCTTGGCCCCAAGCTCTGCTGGCAACATTCTTAAATCTCATTTATTAGATGCAACTGTCCCTTCTTATAGATTGAGGAAACTGAGGACCTAGAGGGGACGTGTGTTCTCACCCCCACGGCTGACCACTGGTTCTGTCTCCCTTCACCTGTGTGCATGAGCAGTGGTTCTGAGAAGTGCCTGACACAGCCACCCCAGGACAGAAGGGTTTGTTGGGGCTCACAGTCCACGGAGACACAGCTCTTGTGGTGGGGAAGGTGCGGGGGCAGGAGTCTACAGTTAGGAAGCTGCCTCTCACGTGATGGTGTTCCCCGCATCAGGGTGGCTCTTCCTTCACAGACATGCTGAGAGATCTGTCTCCATGGCGACTCTAGACCCTGTGAGGCTGGCAGTCAGTAGCTACCAGCACAGGTTTGATAAGCTAAAATGTGCCCAGATGGTGGTGAAGTAGTCCTAGAGAGGCTTGGCTGCTCTCCAGGTAATAGGAAGAATTCAGTGTTCGATAAAATGGAGACGTGAACGATTAATGAACCCACCTGTTCCCTGTGGAGAAAGTCTATTAGAGGAACATGGGGACACGAGTCCCCGCCTGAGCGACCTGCTGCCAGGACACTGCTTCTGAGGACTCCGGTCTCCCACTTTCTCTATGTATTTTGGCAAACTTTTAGTGAAGGCATAGAAAAAGTTAAATTTCCCATCTTCCAACTCATTAAGTGTTATCAAGATATTTTCCCAAAAGTCCACTCTGGTGAACTTTGAAGCATGGCCATCCGCCAGCTTCTTGTTCTCAACTGGAGTCTGTGGAGCAGAAAATGTGGCTGCTTGTTCAGGACAAGCAGAGCTGAGGTAGAAGGTAGTTGATCCCCATGTGAGGAGCCTGGAGTTCTCAGCAGCTCTCCAGGGAACTCCCTAGACGTCCCAAGGGCACCTACCCCACCCTACCCCAGAGCCTCCTTTCCTTTCTCCTGAGTACCTTTAGCGCTGAATCTAAAGAAGGTATAACATTAATTAACCACACAGACAATTAGGACAGTCAGCTTCCAGTCTTTAACTCTCAGTCCACATGGAAAAGCCTCCTAGCAATTTACAAAGCTTGCTGGGAAACTCACTCACACGGCCCAGTGTCAAGTGAAAACATGCGATCTCCTTTTCAGACGTCAGTCAGAATGTCAAGATGACGACAGAGGGTCACATAGCTCAGGGCTGGGACCCTCTGCGTGGCTCATGCAGCCAGTTCCGATCACCGAAGAAGTGTCTGTAGCTCCTGAGGAGCTGCTCTGTCCCTGACAATGTGGAATGTAGCAGGAGCTGGCTTGAGATAATAACCCTGGGATGAGGGGACAGCAAGAGGGACAAGCACAGGGCAACGAACATCCCCGAGAAGCGTGATTGCTGATCCCAGGCCCGAGTCCACTGGCATGTGCCCATCTTTGCTTCGTTCCTGCTTACGTGGTGTTTCTTCTCCATATTTTTCTAGCCATACATAGAAGAAATCTGTGAGAGCCTTCGAGGGGATATTTTCCAGAAGTTCATGGAAAGGTATGCAGCCTGTGTGTGGATACCTGGTGTTTCCCAGTACGTGCTACCCTTCTAACGCGCATTGCCTTAGCCCTCCACAGGCCCTTAGTGGCCATGGCCCACAGCCAGCCTTTGGTCATACTGCTTCCTGAACTTTACGTTATAGCTCCGGGGTGTATGGCTTGATGTCCCCTGGACCCCTGCTTTCTACTTCAGCATGGTCTAAAATTCAGACAGTCTGGGGGAACTTCCAGGATTAGAGGGAGGCCTTTGCTGACACAGCATGGTAGCAGTGTTTTATCTGATGTCACGTCTTGGGTCCTTGAGGCATGTCTCCCCACTGCGAGTCAAGCCTGGGAAGGGATAAACTGTGTGCTCAGAGGTATCGTTTGCATACTTGATGGATTCGTCCCCTGGGTTTCCAAGCTACAGAATAGTGTGCAGTCTTGCTCTGAAGCTGCTCAGCGCTCCTTGAGCTGTTTGCCCGTGTGCCTCGCAGCCAGTTCTCTGGGCTCCAAGCCCCCGAGAGGCAGCCCCCTGTGTGTGTTCTCCTCGACCATGTATGTGGTGATTTATCCTGTGCCCAGTGTCTTGGGAAATTGGCATTTATTTATGGTATCGCAGGTACCAGCAGAAACCTCTGGAAAGGGGCTCAGTGAAGCCAGGGAGGAGTGTACGCTCTGAGCTGATCTTCAGCCTCATTCCAGGCCAGCCCCACTACCTTGATTTCTCACATCTGGCTCCCACCTCTGAGCCTATCTTACTGTTGTGTGATGGGGTACCGCTTACTCCAGGCTTAGGGACTATTCTGTTCTTTATCTCAAGAGTCGGTGATCCTTCATCATGGAATGCCAAGGGGCATGATTGCCTTCTTGTGAGTGTGGAGTTTGGGTTTCATAAACACGGGCCTTGGGCATCACCAGAGATGCATAGGCAGATGAATGGGTGCATTCAGGGGCGAGGTGGGATTCCCTGGGAGCTCTGGCGTCTGTGGAAGAAGGAGAAGCCTTAGCAGTGTGGCTGTGGCTCTCTTCTGCTGTGTTCAGGCAGCACTGAGGCTGGGGGAGAGGAAACTGGAAGTGCCGCAGACTCAATGAGCCTCTTGCACTGAGAAGCAGCAGAGTTGGTCCTGGACTCACCCGAGACGCTCCCACATCCAGGTTTCACCCTCTTTACCCTCCAGGTCCTCCTGGCTCTGACTGCCCTGGTCCCTAGAGATTTGCCCTCTGCCCCAGGTATTAATGAAGAACTGTGCCCATGTTAACCCCGAGGCAGATACTCTGCTACATCTCCAGGGGACTAGGGGACTAGTTCCTTCCTGAAGAGGAACTAGTCACAGCAAGTTCACGCTTAGCCGGCAAAGGGTACTGACTATTATTCCTCTTCCTGAGCTGCCGGAATGCTAAGGCTGATTGTAAATATGTCAGATCCTGTCAGACCCAGACTCTCAGAGAGAAGAGTAGGTTCAAGTCACGAGGGGAGGGGAGTCCCAAAGACTGGCATTTCTGCACAAGCCAATGCACGTCTGAATGGTGATTTTAAACAGCCTCGAAGAGACATTAGGAGGGCAGCAGAGACTAAAGGTCACTTCAGTTCACTGGGAGAATTGCTGTGTTTGCTAAGACCACAGGGCTTTGGGTGATTGATATCGGAAGCCTTTTATTCAGTGATCCCTGGAGGCTTTCTTTTAGGATGCTGGTACCTGTGACTTTACACAAACCCCATCTTCCCTTCCTCCTCCCTGCTTCATTCAGAGAAGCTTGAATTCTGTGTCTTTATGAGGAATCAGTCAGGGGCTAGGTGAGATGCAGCCTTCTGGTCCTTGTCGCCCTTCCCTTCCCTTCTCTCTCCACTTCTTTTCTTTATTTCCCCTCTCTTCTTTCTCTAGCTCTAGGGACTGAATCCAAGACCCTATACTTGTTCAATGGACATTCTACCCCAAAGCTCCATTGCCCAAGCCCACACCCCGAGTTTCTTCGGAACCTCTTATAATTCTACATAAAATTCTGCTCATTAATGGATAAGCAAGCATAATAGTGCCCGAGTTAAGAAGACAGAGGAAGACATTTCTCCACTGCGTGAATGAAGACAGAGCTTGGCAGGCAGTGGGGAAGGCACCTCGAGTACCAGGGGCCCCCTGCTGCACCCCATGGCTTCTTGAGAAGCTCAGGAACCTGCAGGTCTCTGTCCACCTGCTCACCCACATATGATCTTTGCCTGGTACCATTTGCTGGCCTTGGTCTTGGCAGCCATAAAGTGGGGTCGGGAGGCCACAGGTCACAGGGCTGTTGAAAGGGGTCAATGAGCCGTGCGGATTGGGCATGCAGTGAACACGGGCTCTGTTTGGTGCTCTTAGAGATATTTGTGAACATTGGTTGTCCTTTTCTTTTTGGGCGTTTAGAGCAGAATGTCTAAAATAGTAGAACCATCTATAGCTACCAGGCCCGTGAAGTGAGATTGCTCCACATCGAAATGCCCCTCAAGTATAAAATAGTAGGACCATCTATAGCTACCAAACCCGTGAAGTGAGTGAGATTGATCCTCATTAAAATGCCCCTCGAGTACAAAATAGTAGGACCATCTATAGCTACCAAGCCCGCGAAGTGAGACTGCTCCAAATTGAAATGCCTCTTGTGTATAAAAGAAACTGGGTCTCAGAGGCCCTGTGTGGAAAGAAAGACATAGAAAATCAGCATCCATACACTATTAAGTCAAATTATACATGTGGCATGTGACAGCTGAGGGGAGACACTGGCTCTTTCATTTAAACAGTAAAGTTAAGCCACGAATGCTGGGTGAGAAAAGCTTTAATATATATTTTGGGGTTGTATGTCATCGCTCTTCCCCCTCCAACTGCTGTGTCTCCAAGTTCATGGTTTTTCTATAATTACTGTTGCTACAGACATATGTGAGTGAATACATATATTCACACAAGTGAATTACCCGAGGCCACTTCGCTTTGCTCACGTGCACATGTGTGCAGGACTGACCACTTGGGACCGGACAAGCTATGTGGGTGATCATTCTTGGAGGAGACTTATTTTCACTTGGGGTGGGGCCATGTGGGATGTCTCTTGTCCCTGTTGGCAGGTTAACTGTACTGGTCTTGTTTGGGCAACCATATTGCTGAGAATTCACGTTTGTGGCTTCTCTGTTATATGTCCTGGTCCCTGGCTCTTACAATCTTTCTGCCCCTCTTCCAAGATTTGCCCTAAGAAGCAGGTGCAGGGGTTGTATGGGAGACCTGTCGGGGGTAGTCTTTGAGAATGTTTTCCTTGTGTGAGAGGCAACACTGGAGTTGATTTCAGCCCGTCCCTTAAGGCTCTTCTAGAACCCTATTAAGTGTTTATGTAACTCTTTGGTAATTACTTATATTCTCTTTTAGTGATAAATTCACCAGATTCTGTCAGTGGAAGAATGTGGAATTAAATATTCATGTGAGTACCATCCTTCTGTTTCCTCTGCCCTGATGTCACGAGAAAACGCTGCTTTGTTCTGGAACATTTTCCCCAAGGGTTCTCAGCACAGATGTCCTTGTACTCTGACGCTCACTGAGAAGCAGTCAGGACCTTGACTTTCTTTTCTCATGTTTGTATGAGAATGAGTTTACATACATAGGAAAGGCCACGTTAGGCTGGAATTGATGACCTCAAGTGTGGCAGTGAGAGCACAGCCTAATGCGCTGTCTCTGCAGCCTGGACTCTGGCCACGTTGTGCAGGTCCCTTTCTCTGTCTGCTGTAGGATATAATAAAAGGAGGAGAGTTCTTTGCTGGAATAAAGTTTCAGGGTTGTCTTATTTCCTTTTCCTTATTTTGAAACTGACAGACGTAGGGGTTGGGTCAATGGTAGAACACTATTGAGTGTAAGGATTCAGGCCTCAGCATGAGGGACAAATCTCTCTCTCTCTCTCTCTCTCTCTCTCTCTCTCTCTCTCTCTCTCTCTCTCTCCCTCCCTCCCTCCCTCCCTCCCTCCACAAAACAAGAAAGTTGAAAGAGTTGGATGCAGACCACCGCCGTGTGTAGTTGCTAGGTAGCACGCCATTCCCTAGTCAGTCATTCCGGGAAAGGACTGGTCCGTGGGTCATGTTTGGATGCACAGTTCTGTCTCCATCTCTACCTTCCTCACGAGGATCTTCTGAAAAACATGGGGTTTATTGGGCAAAAGAATCAATTGTGTTTTGTTTTTCAAGAAAATCTGTACCTAAAGCAGTTCTGTTAGAAGAGGAGTTCACTAAAAACCTGTTGTTTGTATCCTGTGTCCCGGATGGTTTAAAAGAAAGGGTTTGAAACACACACACATATATACATAGATACACACAGACACACACAGGCATATACACACACAGATACACATGTACATAGATACAGGCATACATATATACACATACAGATACACATGCACACATATATACACACAGACATACACATGCACACACAGACACACACAGGCACACAGACACACATGTACACAGATACAGGCATATATATACACACATACACACAAATACACAGATACACTCACACACAGGCATATACACACAGACAGACACACGTACACACATATACACAGATATAGGCACACACATATACATACACACAGGAACAGACACATACACATATACACACAGATAACACACAGGCATACATACACAGACACAGATACATACGTATACACATATATATATATATATACTGATACAGGCACACACACATACACACACACATATATATACACAGACACAGATACACACAGATATACCCAGACACATGTACACACGTACACACATATATACACAGATACAGGCATCCCCCCCACCTCTTTCTTGGCCCCTGAGCTCTGTGGATGGAGGGAGCACTTGTATAAATGAAGCCTTTTTTTGTCACTCTCTTTTATTTTCATCTGAGGAGTCCTGCCCACAGCCAGCCTCTCAGCATTTCCAGTGAGAAGGACATTTGTCCTGAAACAGATGCTCTTGACATGGACTCTTGTCCACCCCACCCCCCCACCTCCCAGGATAGTGCCTGGAATGGTCTCATTGTCCCCAAACTCTAGGCTTCCTGGGGCCCGAGATCACTATTCATTTTGAATAGGAATTCTACACTCACTTGGCCCCAGGGTCATGGCTTGTATAACCTAAGGTTTTCAAGTGTGCAGGGACAATCCCCTCCCACACTGCAGCCCCACACTGTCTCCATGTTGGGCCTGGTGTGTCACGGGGAGGTGGCCAGGGGACAAGGCTGCTTCTCATTACACCACCCGGAGAGGCTCAGGAGTCTATTCTGGAAGGGGTAGGGGACACCAGGCTGCCTGCACTTCGCTTCATGTGACTTTCTGTGATTTTGGTCTTCCTTCTGTCTTATGCCTCCACAGCTGACCATGAACGACTTCAGCGTGCACAGGATTATTGGCCGCGGAGGGTTTGGGGAAGTGTACGGCTGCAGGAAAGCAGATACCGGGAAAATGTGAGCCTCTGTCTTCTCACCAGGACCATAAGAGTGCATTGTGGAGGCCTTGCTTCCACAGAAAGAGATAGGGCTTGAGCCTGGACCATCAGCTTGGCACTCTACTTGTCAGGGCTGCCGTAAAGTTAACAGGAGCCACATACAGAGTGCCCATGCCAGGGAGACCGTCCTGCAATTGCTACCTGTTCCTCTTGGAGCTTGAGCCCCATGATGCCCACAAAGGCCCCATAGGGCTCCTGCTGAAAGTCCCCCCAGGACCAGGATGTCCTGTCCTCTCTGCTCTTCAGTAGGAGGTTTTATGAAAACCATCCTGGCAATGTGTGGAACATCTCAAAAGTTCCTTGTCAGGGAGAAACTATTTCCCATGTACTGAGGGTTCCTTGCCGCCTCAGGAACTCAGTCATTGTGGGATTGGACAGAGAAGACACTAAACTCATCCATCGGCTTTCCCCTAGGTCATGTGATAGGGTCTCAGTGTGTGGCCAAGATTGTCTGGGAACTGTCTACTAGACCAGGTTGAGCTCTGGCTCTTAGAGGTCACCTGCCTCTGCCTCAAGGCATTTCCCAGCATGCCCAGCTCACACTGTTTCAGTTAACAAAACACAAGCAAGCAGGTTTTCTGAGTCCCAGAGAGTTGAAGCAAAGGTGACAGTCACCCAAACTTTAGATTTCTCTCTCAGCTTCCCACTGTTTTACTGAAAGTGCTTCCTGCTTTCCTCCATCTGAGATGGTTCTCACAAATTTTAAGTTGTCAGCGGGCCCTCCAATAACCAGCCACAGACATGAAAAGTCTATTTATCACTTGAAAGACCACAAGACACACATGAGGGTGGGAGAAGCCAGTCAGGGTCCCCTGCTCCCCGCTCCCCCGCCCAGTATCATGGGGCAGGAGCACACGGTATGTATTTCTTTATTAATGTTTATTTATTGTTTCTGCTTCATTCTTTATCTAACTAGCTTCTCTACCCACGTGCTGAGAGAAATCCCTCTAGTGCTGCACAATTTCTTTCTTCCCATAGTGCCAGCAAAATGGAGATTCCCTGCGGGGCACCTGGGTGTCATCTTGCTTTCTTTCAATGTGGTAGAAATATTCCAGAAGTTCGTGTAGCCCCGTGTAACCGGCTGACTGCACCCTCACCCGTATGTTCTCAGGTACGCCATGAAATGCTTAGACAAGAAGAGGGTGAAGATGAAGCAGGGGGAGACCCTGGCCCTGAACGAGAGGATCATGCTGTCCCTCGTCAGCACTGGGGTGAGTGGCTGGCCCTGTGGCTTCTTAGCTCTTATCCATTGTTCTTGTTTGTCCCAGCTGATCACAGAGGAGGTTGAAGGAGGCTGAGTTAGGGTGTGACACAGGGAGGGCCTGGCAGGGTGGGTGGAGTGTAAGGACAGCACCGCCCCTGTCCTGCAGACCCAGCATCTCCCTGGGAGCCCTGCCCTTCCTTGGCTTCCTTCTTTGTGGCGTGTAGTGCCAGATGGCAGAAATTATAATGAGAAGAACATTTGAATGTCATTTAATGGTTGCCCATACCGTGGAAAGCTCGCCAGAGGAAGAAAGGTTGCCCCCTGTCCTTGATGAGCCAGGCAGGGGGTGGGACATGCACTCTGACTTATTTGTCTGGCAGCGGGTGTTGTCAGTCACGGCAGCCTAGGCTTTGGAGCTGGAGATGTGGTTGTGGGAAAGAGCACTTGATGGGCAGGCATAAGGCCTTGTGTTCACTCCCTGGACCACCACCTACAGAAACCCCAGATGGCACCAAGTGAGTTCACCCAACCAAGACAGCTTCCCTTGTCTAAATCTATGCAGCATGTGGACATCAGAAGGCTGCGGGCAGCACTCAGAGCAGGGCAGGGGTTGGTGCCATGGAGTTGTCCTGTGGTGCAGTATCCCTGTCGTAACTGGAGGGTGTCTGATTGTCCCTGTCCAGGCCATAGGTGGGCATTGCTAATTGTCACCTCCAGCCATAGGTGGGCCCTTCTGAAGGTCATCACCGGATTCTATGTCCTCTCTGCCCAAAGGATCTCATCAAACCCTAATGGCTAGTCAAAGATCCCGTTCCGCTGGTGAGAGGGCTGTGGAGACCCAGAGTGGACCCATCGCTTCCAGTTCTCAGCCTCACTGACCCAGCTCAGTCGTCCCTTTGGAGGCAAAGTGGGTTTTCATGACCAGCTTTTGTTGACTTGTAACGATTCTAATCTTCAGAGCTTCCAGAAGGACTGTTTGCTACAGAAGCAAAACAGTCGTGTCGTTTAGGTGACCTGTAGGATGAGAACGGGGCTCTAAATACTCCCTCATTGTGCACCCCTGCTTTCCAACTCTGGGCATTTAGCTCCATTTTCAGTGAGTTATTTTAAAGCCACGTTCATTTTCAAGAAGTCATACGGAAAATGTTTTTTTTTTTGTTGTTGTTGTTGTTGTTGGAAGTATACAAGGTCATTTTGTTTGTATTCTTTTAATTTTTTTTTCAAACAAGGGTGTATCTTTGGTCTGACCTGAAGGGAATAAATTTGAAAATGATGTTACATTAGGCCACTAACATAAGCTGACCGGAGAGAGCCCTACTTATGTCCAGATACTGATCTGGAGGCTGGTTAATGGGGGCACAAGTGCCTCAGCCTAGAGAGCTATAGCAAAGTGATTTGGGATTGTCAGCGTCTGGTTCTGCATGGACACCAGACCACACTCCTTCTGGCAGCTGCTTGGCCCCTGGATCAATGAGGCTGGCAGGCAGTGGATTCTGAGGCAGCACCCAGCCTACCCCTTTTCTCTGTTACTATGTTACTCCTTCTGATTTGTTTCACAGCACGTCAGTGATAAGCACTGTGGGGCTTGAACTAAAGCCATGAAAACTAACCACTTACCCTGGGGGAACAACTGAGCTCCAGACTAAAGAAATCAAAGGGTCTGGGGGAGAGGGGGCTTCCTAGGTGTGTCAGGGGAGGGGCTGACCACAAGTATTTGTACAGTCTCACAGTACTTTGGTCAGTTGCCCAACGAGGCCTGCTGAGTTTGCCACTGTCACATGTTGCTGTTAGGCTCTTGACCCTCATGCAGAGATCAGGGAAGGCTCTGGTGGCAGGTGCAGCTTAGGTGAAGTAGCTATGGGTTTTCCCAAGCATGAACTTGAAAGCAGGCAGAGATCATCACCAGGCTGTGGTCTGAGGCTGTGAGAAACAAGGCTTGCATAAAGGATTTGAAAGACTCAAACTTGAACGGCTTGCCTGTTGAGAACTTGATGGTCAGGGCTAAGGCTGGTTAAAAAGAAAAGAAGAAGAAGGTGTAGATCCTGCTGGCTGGAACTGGGTTGACGGGAGCCTGTACCTGGCACTGGATGAAACCACCTTCTATGGAGCCCTGGGGATGCTCAGAGACCAGCAGGTGTGGGGCTCCCATCATGGTCTGCTATCCACTTCTTTGTGGCCTCAGGCAAACAGTTCCCTATTCAGTGGGCTTGGGCTTGACTTCCTGAGCTTTAAATTAAGGAAGTGAGACCTGCTGGTTTTTTAGAGCCTCTAAATCTAAAACTCATTCATTTTCTTACTAAAGGCCCTTCCTTGCTTTCTCGGGGAGACACAGCCAGCCTCTTTGCAGTTTTTCGTGGCTGTCCTTAGAAGGACTACAAGCCAGCGTGTCCCAGAATCTTCCCTGTAAGGGCCTCCGGTGTCCTGGGTACAGTTCCCCACCTAAGCTTGGAAAGACGCTGGCCTTACTGAGTTTAGGGTTCTCTGTTCCATTGAGCTGCCCCTTAGATCACAGGGCAAGTTTTAGGGGAGCACCACTGAGGATTAAGGGGGAACTGTGGAGCAGAATGAGATGGTTTCCCCAGAAGGTCGTGGAGAGATCTGGAGAAGCATGGGGGGGGGGGGCGGGAGGAGGCTGTGCTGACTGGTTTTGTGTCAACTTGACAAAAGTTAGAGTCATCTGAGAAGAGGAAACTTCAACTGAGAAAATGTCTCCATAAGGTCAGTCTGTACACAAGCCTGTGGAGAATTTTTTAGTGACTGATGGGGGAGAGCCCAGCCCATTGTGGGTGGGGCCATCCCTGGGCTGGTGGTCCTGGGTTCTATAAGAAAGCAGGCTGAGAAAGCCATGAGAAGCAAGTCACTAAGCAGCACCCCTCCATGACCTTTGCATCAGCTCCTGCCTCCAGGTTCCTGCCCTGTTCCTGCCTTGTCTTCCCTCAGTGGACTGTGGTCCAGGATACGTAAACCAAACAAACCCTTTCTCCCAACTAAATCTTGGTCATGTTGTTTCATCACAGTAATAGTAACCCTGACTAAAGCAGGGCCCAGAAGGCCACTGGCTCACATGAGGACAGCTCTGTGCTTCTTGTTCTTGAGGGCACACAACACTTGGCATCAATAAATTCGCCATCTCAGCAGAGGACCAAAGAGGAAGCTGTTGTTCATCTTGACCCAGTTTTCTCTAGAACTTATGAAAATGAGTCTAAGTTTGTATACTGTCTCTCTGCCTCCGTGGTATTGGGATTGCAAGCACAGGTCACCGTGACTAGCTCTTTAATGTGGGTTCTGGAGATCCCACTCAGGCTGCCTCGCTTGCATGGTGAGAACTTACAGATTAACCGTCTACCTAATACCAAGGTTTTAAAGTTTTCCCGTGGAAACCTCGGCACCTTCTTTGGATTTTAATAATTCACAATGTTGAATAAGTGCATATTGTGTGGATAGGCCGTGTTGTGGTTGCAACCCTCTAGTGGTGAGGTGTAGTTGGAATTTTCTTTGGGCCACCTAAATAGTGTCTCCTAAATAGAGACACAGAGACTTAATGAATTGTGAAGGCCCAGCCATAGTTTAGACTTGCCCACTAGCTCTTGTAGCCTAATTTAACCTGTTTCTGTTCAACTATGTTTTGCCTCGGGTCTTTTTACCTTTAGTTCTGTATGCCCTACTTTCCTGCTTCCTCCGTATCTGGCTTACTGGCCCCCGGCGTCTCCCTGGTGTCTCTTTTTCTTTTTCCTTTAAAGACTAAATTCCTCCTCCTACTTACTCTCCGTGCACAGAAGTCCTGCCTATACCTCATCCCTCTTTCTTGGTCATTCAACTTTTTATCAGAAATCAGGAGCCTAAAGCAGGCAAGGGTAAAACAGAAACACATCTTTACATAACTAAACACATCTTTGCGTAGTTGAACAAGTATTCCACAGTGGTGAGGACATGTGAAGCACCTGGACGTGTGAGTCCTGCGGGAGAAGAGCAGTCATAAGGACTGGTCATCAGGAGAAGCAGCCTTGTCAGGAGTCAGGAGTCACCCAAGGCTTGGGACACCAGCTCCCTGCCCAGGCCATTCCTCTCCTGAGCTTTCACAAGGTAGCTAGCTCTGCAGTTAGCCCGACCTACGTGTGACTGAGTCTGCTTCTCTCCCCCTGAGAGCACGAGGTAGCCTGTGTTGCTGCACATGGCGCTTGCTCGATGAGCTGGACAGCAGGGTTGGCGGGAGCTTCCCCAGGACCAGATCCAGCTTGAGGCCGTCTTCTAGACAGCCCCTGAGCCAAGAACGGCTCATCCGTTTCTAGATGGAGGAAAAGGACACAGAGTAGATGGAGGATGCTCCTGTCTGGTGCTCCTTCTGCTGACTCTCCTCAGGGGACTTCCTGGGCTGGGCAAATCCAGCAGAGCTGTGCGGCAGCTCTTGCACCTGTGGCACAGGTGGGCCCCCAACTGTCTGCCTGGTGTGGAGTTGCCAGGTCATGGGGTCAGCAGGTGATGCACAGTCCAGGTAACAGCTCCAAACAGCTGGTCACAGCTCAGCACCTAGGTGTCTGAACAGTAGTGTTGGTAGAGAGTGTGAGGCCAGGCCATACTTTGGCTTTGTTGTGCAGATGCTCGGCTATCCAGCACTGATAGAAAACACTGACCTTGCCTGTCACCTTTTATGTTGCATTTCTTGCACTCAAGTGACCATCTACATGTGTGTTCACTGGAGGGCTCCTTCCTTGGCTACACTGATGTGCTTGAACTTAGGCCATGCCGTCTGAACTACGTTTACCTTATGAGCAGTTCTGTGTGGGTGTGTGCACACCTGTTTGTATGCATGTGTATGTATGCTCCTGTATACATGTGTACACCTGTGTGTATATGTGTATATATTATATGCACTTGTGTTTGTGGATACATGTGTGTATACCTATGGATACTTATATGTATATGTATGAGCGTACCTGTGTGTATCTGCGTGTGCCTCTATGTGTGTGTACACATGTGTATACACGTATATTTATATGGTGTGTGCTCCTATGTGTGTGCACATGTATATATGAGTGCATATATATATATATGTAATATGTGTGTGTACTTGTTTGTGTGTTTATTTTTGCTTGTATATATGTGTATATGCATGTGTCATCTGTGTGTGTGTGTGTGTATGCTCACCTTATGCAGAGGCATGGGGATACTTATCCATATGTGTGCCGGTGGAGGCCAGAAGTGGATGCTGGCTTAATCTGTCACTCTGTACCTTGTGTTTGGAGACAGGGTCTCACCCTGAACCTGGAGCTCACTGACATGGCTAGATGAACAGCCAGTGAGCCCTAGGGATCCCCTTGTCTCTGCCTCCCCAGCGTTAGCATTGCAGTGTGTGCTGAGGTGGGTGCGAGCATCTGGACTTAGGTCCTCACGCTGTGCAGCAGCAGTGTTCCCACCAAGCCTTCTCCCAGCCCCGTGAGAAGTCATCACATCGTCGGTGACTTTCCTGGCTGTTTTTCACAAAGCGTGTCTGTGCTTTAGTTGCAGTGAGCCTGTCAACACTCATTTCTGTTAGGGTTCTGTGGAATCCATAACTGATTGAAGGGACGTGGACACCCATTTACTGTGAAGTTACTCTGTCAGTCACTCTACAACATAGGTTCCACCTTCAAAAAGCTAATTTCGTACTAATAGCACAGACACCAGCCACCCTCTCGTTCGGTTCTCCTGCGTTCAAAGCAGAGATTGAAATACATAGTTGTCTAGCCAGAACCCAAACCGTGGCCAGCAGAGGCCAGTGGGGCAGCAGCGTCCCTGGAGGCTCTGAAGAGAGCAACGCCAGGTTGAGTCAGGGTGAGAGAATGTCTCAAGTTCAGCTGCTCCGATGGCCTGTGTCTGTCTCTGTCATCAGCAGGATCCCTTGCTCCATGGTTTCTGAAGTGACCAGTGCATGTCACACTCAGGGCCAATGAGAAGGAGTAGGAGTCTGCAGTGGGGTGTTTGGTGGTAGGAATGGTTTCTGGGGTGGCTTCTGTTCTTCTCAGACTTGTGTTCATTCTCTCTAGGACTGTCCCTTCATTGTCTGCATGACTTATGCCTTTCACACACCGGACAAACTCTGCTTCATCTTGGACCTGATGAACGGTAAGCAAACCCAGGGGTTCAGCTGCAGGGAGAGCTCTGTGTGGCATTCATTCTGAGCTGGTGGCACCCAGGCATGCTGGACTCTGCAAACCTGTCCCATAATTGTAATCTCTTTGTAATTTGGAGGGCATCTTTGCCCTTTGGACTTCGGTAGATTCATCTTCAATATTGGCTGTGATTTCTCTCTCAGCCTTGCCATTCTCTCTCTTGGAAGCTAGGTCTAGAAACTTCTCACAAAATTAATCCTGGCCTTGAAGTTTTACCTTCTGGACTGCAGCTGCCCCCAGGCTTTAATTAGCTTATTTCGTGGTCTCAACTCTTGGGACTGAAACATCTCCCAAGCATATAGGCCAAACACAGGCATGCATTGAGAAGCTGCCTTTCCAGGACTGGTTTGTGTGAGTCCTGCCTTGCTCCTCTGTGTTTCCGATGTCCTCAGGACTCTGCGTTCATCTTTGAAACCATGAACGGTCACCACGAAAACACACAGATACAAAATGTTCAGCTGCGGAGGCTTTCAGCGCGAGGATGCGATATTGGAGCACTTGAAGTATTTTTAGGAAAAGCTGACATGAAAGATGAACCATTCAGCCATTCAGATTCTTTTTATTTTTTTATTTCTCTTGAAGTTTCATTATGTTTTGAGTGTTTGATTTGAGCTCAGATCTACCCCCAAAATAGGAAGAACATAAGGTCAGTAATGAGCTAAAGATGCCAGAGCCAACAGCACATGCCTTGCAGATCCTGTGTGTAGATGGGCAGAAGGGGCAGTGCTCATGGAGGCGTGAGGACAGAGTGGCCCCTTCCCTGCCAGGGCCAGGCTGGTGGAGGCTGAGCTGGCCCACTGGGAAGAGCTTGGAGCCCTTTATTTACTGAGGTACATGTGCAATGAGGGCAGAGGTGTGTGGAGTCCAGGGCAGCAAAGTCAGCCATGTGACAGACTTTATCATACACCTCTCCCTGCCCTGGGCCTTATGGACTGTCCTTGAAGCAGTGCAACTATTTCCTTTTCCCAACATTGTATTTTGAACAATTCTGAAGTCAAGGCTAGGGTAACAGTTTTATGAGGTTTCTTGGATATCCATCACCTAGGGTTTTCCAGTTATACTTCACTGGTTTGACAGCATCATATCCCCCTCCATGGGACCAGTGTTGAAGGCTTTTCTAGTTTTTTTTTTTTTTTTTTTTAACTGTGGACTATTGAGGCTGTCATTGCTTTGGAACACTATGTAGGTGGGTTCAGTTACTAGGCAGGTTTAAATAATCAGTGGTTCAGCTGGCCCGTGCCCTGTGGTATAATTGGTAGCAGAGCCACAAGCCCCTAATGGTGGCTCCATCTATTCCACTTGAAGTTGTTTCTATAATGATCAACACCTTTGATCTGATTACAGAAACCAAAGACAGATGTCAAGGCAAAAGGAAGAGCCATTCTGTTTTGCTCTAGCACCCTGTTCTTTGGGGTGACCCCGTCTACTCTCAGTGAACATTCTGGGTCTCTGGTTGCAGGGGGCGACATGCACTACCACCTCTCCCAGCACGGGGTGTTTTCTGAGAAGGAGATGCGCTTTTATGCCAGCGAGATCATCCTGGGTCTCGAGCACATGCATACACGCTTCGTTGTCTACAGAGACCTGAAGGTGAGCAGGATTGGGGTGTGCCCACAGCAGGGATGGTACCTGTGGCCAATCCCCATTGTCATGGCAACCTCAGTGCCTGCTAGGGTGCTGGGTGAAGTTCTCATGCTAGGTCCAGGTGTTACACAATAAAGGAGATGCTAGTTGGTATGCTTGGGGCATTTCCAACTTTGTATATAATCATGGTTTGGTTGACGCTCACTAAGGAACAGATCTTGTCCTGCTGGTGGGTCAGGGTTTGAGAGGGATAAAGACAAGCTGTGGGCCGAGATAAAGGATGATGGAGTCCTTGCTCCCGTGAACAAGGCTGCTTGGATGGAAAGGGGTGGGTTGTGGATTGCAGCTCAGTTCGTAAAACTTCCTGGGGACACCTTGTGGTCCCTTACTGAGCTGAGATTGACTCACTGAGCTGAGGTCAAGTGCTTCGTGCTGGGGTCTCCATGCAGGGGGGAATACGGGTGTGTGCATGGCGACACCGTCTATGCGTGATGCAGACAGAGAAGAAAATAAAAGGGACTGAATTAGTCAGGGATTCTATTTCTGCAATAAACCTCCATGACCAACGCCAACTCAGGGAGGAGAGGGTTTGTTTCATTTTATAGTTTGTAGTCCATCACGTAAGGAAGTCAGGACGGGAGCTCAAACAGGGCAAGGACCTAGAGGCAAGAGCTGATGCAGAGGCCATGGAGGGGTGCTTGTAATGGTCTGCCCTGTCCCTTTAAGAGATAAGCCCTGCTCACTCTCCTCCCCTTGGATCTTCCTTCCTCTTCCAGCCTGCAAGCTCCCTCCTTTCTGTCTCTCTCTTCCCTGTCCTGAAGAATTAACTTCGGCTTCTCTCCCTTCTCCTCCCTTCTCCCCTCCCCCTCTGGTTTTCTTTCTCTCTCTCTCTCTCTCTCTCTCTCTCTCTCTCTCTCTCTCTCTCTCTCTCTCTTTCTTTCTCTCTCTCTCTCTCTCTCTCTCTCTCTCTCTCTCTCTCTCTCTCTCTCTCTCCCTCTCTCTCCCCGCCTCTCTCTCCCCTTTTCCCCCTTCTCCCTCCCTCTCTCCTCACCCTCCCTCCCATAGCCCACTGAGTAAACTCTACCCAAACCCCCTCTCCGCATGGTATGCCTATCCCTCTCTGTCTCTCATCCGTTGCAGCTCTTCGAGGGACTGGCTGACCCACCAAGGGCTCTCACCTGCCACGTGGCTCCCTGCCCCTTTTGGCACGCTGTCCGCTGCCGCCCCTTGGTGACCGCAGTGTTTTACTTTTACCATCACAGTGCTGCTTACTGGTTTATTCCCCCACTGCTTGCTCAGCCTGCTTTCTTAGAGAACCCAGGACCACCTGACCAGGGACGGCACCACCCACAACGGGCTGTGTCTACCCCATCAGTCACTAATTAAGGAAATGCCCACAGGCTTGCCTACAGCCTGATCAAATGAAGGCATCTTCTCAATTATGCTTCTCTCTTCTCAGATGACTCTCGCTTGCGTCAAGTTGACAAAAACAAACAAGCGAAATCATCCAGGGTGAGACCCTGACAGATTATAGACACATGTGGGATGTGTCAGTGGCAACGAGAGGTAAATTGTAGAGGCGGCAGCTTACCAGTAGGATAAGAAAAAGTGCTCGTGGCTGGTCTCTGTCTCCTTCTGGAATGGCCCAATATGCAGTGGGCTGAGATGAAGTCCTGTTACTTTCTCCAGGGCTCCGTGAGACGTCGTGTTGCTTGTCTGAGACAGGGATCTCCCTGTGTAGTCCAGGGCAGCATGGCACTCGAGATCCTGCTGTCTCAGCCTCCCAAGCTGTACCAGCCTGTCCTGATGCTGATAGATTTAGGAAGCAAAATGCTATATTTTGGTTTTGAGCACATAATTTCTTTTCCCCGAATACCTCTGAGAAGTTGAAAGTGTTCTTTGTGTTAAAGGATTACTCTCTTAGCTTTCTTTCATGCGTGCATACAGAAGAAAAGATAATTTTTTTATTGAACTAGAAATAACCAGATGCTGGTGGGCTCATGGCATGTTAGCTGTTCATGAATTTTATGAGGAACCAGATACATGCTGACAGCTCACGGAGCTGCTGCCCTGTGTCTTAATTTAGACCCTGGGATGGCTTTTACCCATGTCTCTGCTGTGTTTGTTTTCTAAGCTTTTTAGTAGGCAGTGATGTTATTCAGTTCCCATTTGAATTTAATCCTAGTCACTCATGATTATTCATGCTTCAGTACTGTAAGAGCTTGCCATTATTTTTATTTTAGTCAAAACAATAGGTGCTTCACGGCAGAAGGCAAAAAGCTATTCCTGAGGAGACTGTGGTTGGGTGTGTTGGGGGCGTGGCCTTTGTTTCTGTGATTGCTTTGCCCAAATCTAATGTGGATGGAAATTGTCCCAGTCACCTCAGAGTCAGGATCAGACCGTTTTGGCCATTTCCTAGGGCCCTCGTCAGCGGTGGCTGTTCATCAGAATTAGCATGAAGCTTTGGGATGCTCCCAGTCCTTGGGTCAACAGTTGCACATCTCTGCAAGATCCCTCCTTGTCTTGGCCCTTGAAGCCATGTTCTCTAAACCTCATGGTCCACAGATGACCTCCAGAAGCCTGTGAGCCTGCTCCCCATTGCTAGGATGTCCATGCGGCTACGCCTGAGCTCTTGGGGTAATCCCATTATTAGGATGCCCATGCTGGTTATACCAGAGTCACCCCATTACTAGCATGACCCTGCGGCTACACCTGAGCTCTTGGGGTAACCCCATTGCTAGCATGTCCCTGTAGCTACACTGGAGCCCTTGGAGTAATGGGGAAGACATGCTTCCAATTCTATAGTGGGAACCCTGCTGCCCCCCACCCCCACTTTGGGTGTCATTCTCTGGTGTGGTTGGTGTAATGGTTAAGATAAAATTGCGCAGTTCCCTGAGGGGCGGCAGTAGGCCATAAGGGGTAGCCGGGTCCCACCACCTGAGGCCTCTGTGTGTCCCAGGAGGGTGGGAGGTGGTGGGTGAGAGACCTTGGTAGGTCGGCATGGAAGCCGGTCCCCACAAGGAGCCGCAGTGGGTGAGAGATGGATAGGCATGCCATGCAGAGAGACGGTTTAGATATAGTTTATTCAGTAGGTTATGGAAGGAAAGGAAGAGGGGGAGAGGGAGAGAGAGAGAGAAAGAGTGAAAGAGAGAGGGAGATGGGGGAGAGGGGAGAGGGGAGAGGATGAGGAGAGGAGAGGAGAGGAGAGGAGAGGAGAGGAGAGGAGAGGAGAGGAGAGGAGAGGAGAGGAGAGGAGAGGAGAGGAGAGGAGGCTGCAGCCACCTCTTCCAAAGAGAGACAGGGCAGAGAGAGCCCAGGATGGAAGCAGAAGGAAGTTCTACTTACTTGCCTCTGTGGATGGGGGAGGGTGTGGGCGGAACTTGTCTCTTGGACAGGACAGACCATTACAGGGAGGGCCCTTTGTCCGCCTTACAGCTCCTTCCCACTGAAGTCAGCAGAGTGGAGCTGTGTTCCTTGTCCTGCTGGCTGATTTGAGAACACAGAGTTCCCCATGATGACATAGGGATGCCCTGTGGAGGTCATGTGCAGCTCAGTCGTCTCCTGGGGACTCTTGAACTTCTTTTTCTTTCAGCCTGCAAACATCCTCCTGGATGAACACGGTCATGTGAGGATATCTGATCTTGGTCTTGCCTGCGATTTCTCCAAAAAGAAGCCGCACGCCAGTGTGTGAGTAGCATGTCCGCTGCGTTTGCCGTGGTCCACAACGTGGCACCTTTGTTCCGGCAGCACACCTGGCCACAGGTGCCCCTGTCTCTCGCATCAGCTGCATTTTCTCTGTTGTACTCAGTGTCGAGGTGGCGGGACTGGAGGTAAAGAACAGAGTGCTTCCTGTCAGTGTTTCTGGGGACAGACACGGCTCCTGGGGAACTGACCCTGCTTGGGAAGGGGTCTGGTTCTGAAGAAGCTGAAGGTCATGCTGCCCGTAGAATCTGAGCAAGTCAGCTCACCTCTTACCTTTAGTCTCTTCTGTAAAGTAGAGCGAATACATTTTTACCTCATTGCCAGAGTATGTGACAGAGCCCGTGCCCCAGAGAGGCACGTGATGCTGCCCAGGATGCCCCCAGGGAGCGCTCGGGCCGGCTTCCATCTCTGTCTTCTGTACTTCGGGAAATTCGGGGAACGAGCCACCTGCTTACTCACTGCTCAGGGCTTAACACAGGCCGTATCCTAGACTTGAGAGGTGAACCAGTTGCCACAGGGAAGTGCCTCTTGAGCCCACAGCCATCTCTGAGGACTGGGAGCTGCATTTAGTGGTGGCAGAGCTAAGTTCAGGTGACCTGGCCTTTGGCCACCTCTAGATAAAAGCCTTGCCCTAGCTCTGAAGAAGAGTGTGCCAGTGACCACCCCGAATGCCCACTTTCCCTTCTAGAATGTCTCCCCCTGGGCCCATGAATGGCTCAGCAGAGAAAGCTGTTGCCACATTGCCTGACCACCTGAGTTCAATCTCCAGGCTCCACATGAAGGGAGGGAGGAGAGAACTGACTCCCATAAGTTGTCCTGTGTCCTCCACACACAAGCCATGGCCTGACACACATGCACACACATGCACTAAAGAAATATGAAAGTTTCTCATTCCTAGCACCGAGTCTTCTACAGTTACATCTCACCATCCCTCTGAGCAAATGTTCTCTCTACTGAATGCTCCCGGAGATAGGTACCCCGAGTTTCATTCTGTGTGCAGAATAAATACAGACCTTCCTTTTGTGTAACTAGATCTGAAGGGGTGGATTTGTGGTGCTCGATGAAGGCCTGCTTTAAATGCAAGCTGCCTTTGAAAGCGCATTGCTCCGCTGGTGATACATGGATGGTAAACGGTACAGTTTCTCTAAGCAGATGCTCTTTGCCCGGAAACTGTTGCAGGCTCTGAGAGCATCAAGGGTCTGCCCAGCGGGCTATCTGCACTTCCCCCAGGCTGTTCCTTGGCCATAGATGCTTTTGCATTTTTAACGCCACCCCTCTTTGGCATGCTCTTGTCTTCAGTTTACTTGTGGTCATTGCTAAACATGAGATTCATAAGAACTCAGCTCTGTGGCATGGCATAGTTTATTCTACTAAGCTGGCCGCCTAGGTCCTGAGAGGCAAATCCAGTCCACATGGAGGCCTGCTGTGCCTGCCTCCAGAAGCACTGTATTTTGAACAATGGCTTGGCTTCCTTTTTCTGTCACTGTGATAGAAAACTCTGATAACAGCAACTTAAGGGAGCGAGGAGTTGGGCTGTATTCCAGGTTATATCGCATCACAGCAGGGACATCCTAGCTGTGGACCTGAGGCAGCTGGGCACATCACATCTGGTCAGGAGAACGGTCCCTGCTCTGCTCACTTTGTCCCTTCTGTACAGCCTGGGACCCAAGCCTAGGGAATGGTGCTGCCCACTTTTAGTGTAGGTTTTCCCACCTCAGTGAACCCTAATCAGTTCAGACCCAGGCATGCTCAGGAATGAGTGGTCCCTCCCAGGTATTCCAAATCGGTGTGGACAGTGGACATTGGCCGTCTCAAACAGCATTCACAAAGAGATTGGGCTGAGAAGTTGGCCAGGCTCCTGGTTTAAATGCTGGCATCACTTCAGTGCAGATAATTGTACAGGGAGCATTGTGACCTTGGGCAGTGCTAGTGAACTCCAGAGCTAGTGGACACCTGCAGAGCCATCTACATCAGCTGGTTTGATTTCTCCTGGAAGATGTCCCTCCCCTCCCAAATGATGGTTCAGTCATGGATAGCACCCCGCAGTCACCTCAAAGGGCTTCCAGGCTATCTAAAGCTCAGCTTTCCCAATAAGCATTTTGGAAGCCCTGGCAGGGGCCTCCTCTGTTGCTGGCATGGCTCTTTTGATCTTATGCTGGCAGCTTGTGGAAAGCCAGGCCTGCCACTACCTGCCAGCCCCCATTTCACGTATTGTGCAGCTCCTCCGAGCCTCCCCATGGGCTCCAGTGACCACCCATGATCCTTACTGACTTGGGGTTTCTGAGTGAATCCTCAGTGTGCGTAAGCAAGTCAGCAGCACTTATCCTAAGGCAGGGCATGATTTGAACCTTGCCTCCTGCCCTACATAGGTTCACTTCACCTCTTGGGCCTTGTGATGCTGAGCCATGGCCATACTTGCGTTCCCCTCAGCGCCTCTTCATCCTCTCATTGACAGAAGTCAGTGAGAAAGAGAACAGCTATAGCGCTGCAGACAGGGGCTTTCCCAACATTCTTTTTGATGGCGTCGTAGAGCCCCCGGGTCGCTCAGGCTCATCTTGGGGCACAGTGTATGTACCTATGGGTCTTCACAGACACCACCAGCCAGATCAGTTGCATCAACCCTGGCGGTCCACGGGGTGATAGATGCCCTAGCCAAATTGCCCTCATCCTCCTTCCCTTCCTGTGTGAACTCGCGATCGCCTTCTGCAGAGCACTCAGCATAAGGCGTGTGCTTAGGCCATGGTGCATGCTCACTTCTCCGTGCTCAGCCACTGCCCTCTTAACACGGGGCGGTGTCCTCCTCATTCCAGAGTGAGCGTCCTCCTGTGACCATCTCCTTCCCTCCCCAGGGGCACCCATGGGTACATGGCTCCGGAGGTGTTGCAGAAGGGGACACCGTATGACAGCAGCGCCGACTGGTTCTCCCTGGGTTGTATGCTCTTCAAGCTCCTGCGGGGGTGAGTGGAACCCAGATGTCCTGTCCTGGGGTGCTTGGGTCCAGTGGAGCTTCCTGGGCTGAGGTTAGCCCAGTGGCAGAGGGCTTGCCTCATGTGCAAGAGACCCTGGGTTCCATCCTCAGCCTGGGGGTGGGGAGAATATTTATGAATTACTGTCTTGATGTCATGTTAAATCGCACAGTGGCCTTTAAGCAGATGACGGCCATGGTGGCTCCTCCTTTTTTACTCAGGCCAGCTTCTATGCTGAGGACTCAGAGATTGAAACTTTATGGCTTCATCTTTTTTGTCCCATGCCATAGGTCCTAGGTACCTTAAGCTAGGACTAAGGTAAAATAAGACTAAATAGAGCAAACCAAGAGGGCTTTGGAGCATTTCCACAGTAAACCATATTCTAGAACTATGTGGAAGTATTAAAACATGGATGACTGGAGAAGGTGGTGTGTGTCCCCCCTCCCTGCCACAAATGACTTCTCATGATTCCTGAACATCAAGCATTTGGGGAATTCTGGAGTGTGGGGCCGGGGCGCCAAAGTAACCCTGCCTGAAAAGTTGGCATTTCTCTGTGAGCCTGCTAATGTTGTCTCTTGGAAGTTGACCTTTCTACTTGACTGTATCCTAAGCTACAGAGACACTGAGTTGGGCAGCAGGGAGGGGATGATTGACAGCTGACACCTTCTGTGACTTTCTAGATGCTCTAGCTGGTTTTAAGTGGGAGCTTGTTCTAGCGGAACCCAACTGGACTTGTCATTCTCACTACAGAGGTCCAAGAAAGATGCCTGTCCCCGCTTCCTGTCTCGATTTCCCTCTTATCAGTTGCCCAGTAGCCTGTGCCCACAGTCTGTTGAGGGTTCACTGCACCCCTGGGAAAACTCATAGGTTCTGCTTAGTACATTTGAAGAGCTGTTGAATGCCATAGTCCCCCAAACTTGGCTCCAAGTACCACGCACTATATCCTTGATGCTTCTGTAATCCAATTCTGCTGCGCCCATCGTGTATTCCCTGGGGATCTAAAATTGTATTACCGCTAAGAAAGTCAGGTCTGTTATTCCGTAATTACATTACCAGTACCATGTCGGTGGAGCCCAGGCGCCCCTTATTCCTGATCCCAGGACTAGCTGACCTGATTAGAGGCTACGCAGAGCGAGTCAGAGGAAGCCATTTCCCAGGGAGGCCCCCTTCTGTCCCCACTACAGTCCTTGCAGGTTCAGGGAGACACTGGAGACAACAAGGCACAGCAGAATTGGATTACGAAAGCATCAATAAAGGACCCCCAGGGAAACGGTGCAAGCCCGAGAAAGATGACTTTGTGTTTGAAGAATCGGGAAGGGCTTGTCTGATTATCACTTCAGTCCTATGCAACTGTGATTTGTTCCTCGTGGAGTGAGTTTAGTTTTACACAGCTGCATTCAATTTCTGAGTCCTTCTGAATAGGGAAATAGAAAGTCCTTGGTGAAATCCTTCCTCTCCTGGGGCGAGAAGTTTCTGTCAAGACCTTAAGATTCCTGAGGATGGCCCCAGGGACAAGTGTGGAGAGAGAGGTGAGAGAGATGGAAGCCAGAGAGTGGGCATAGGTCAGGTGACGAAAATGCCCGACTGCACCTCTTCAAAAGGGAGTCTCACGGAAGGGCTGCTTTGGGAGGGGGGCGTCTGGTGAGATGGCTCAGCACAGAAAGACACCTGTCATCAAGCCTGGGACCTGGGTTCAATCCCTGGGACCAACATGGTAGAAGGAGAGAACCAACTCCTCAAAGTTGTCCTCTGACCTCTACACATCTCCCCACATGCATGTGCATGCATGTTCTAGTACACACACACACACACACACACACACACATACACAGAGGTTATATCACCTAAGAATCTGTTATATGTGTGGCCATATAAACCTCTTGCTGCTCCATGGCCAGTTCCCGGGGTCCCTGACTGCTGACTGCCTGCGCTGGGGAGGAGTCTTGGCCTAGGTGGCTAGTGAGCTTTGATGCATCCTCCCCCCTGAGGTTCAGTGCTCAGACCGCTCTCTCCCATGCTTACTCAGAAGCCCTTCCAGGGACTGCATAGCACTAAAAGCAAAGAGCAGGAAATTAGTTCTGACTCCCGCGATTTAAGCTTGATAAACATTTATTGAGTACTTAAAAGCACATGAGGGCCTGATACAGAGGAGGAGGGGAGGAGGGCTTCAGGAGGAGGGAGAAGAAAGGTAAAAGAGGGGGAGGCTCCCCCAGAGGACTGGGAACCGGGAAGCATAGAAGTGGAGGACCCACTTCTGTTGTGGCTGAGTGGGGTGACTTTGTGTGGGAGATGGGGCTCTCAGGATGGAGACAATGTGGTGGGGACAGGTACAGCTTGCCACAGGGGCCCACTGAGTGGTAATTACTGTCTCAAGTAGGGTATGTTAGCAGAGGCAATGCCGACCTGGGAGGGCCTCCGTATGCGCTGCGGAGCATGGCCTTGTTTCCCGGTGTCAGGGACTGGGGGATTTTTAACAACGGGATGACAAGGCCTTGTAACCTGCAGCCAAATGATTCTTGAAGCCGCCTGTAGTGTAGTGGGACAGAGACGTGCCTGAGCTGCAGCAGGAGGGGATATGAGGGACAGAACAGTACTATAGAGTCAGCCTAGACAGTGCAGGGACATCCTGTGCACCTGGATGAGGAAGGACAGCGGTTGCTCTTGGGAGGGTGTAGTCAACAGTGCTTCAGGCAGAACCAAAGGTCACAGGGACCTTTCATGAGCAAGGCCCCAAGGTGGGTCTGCAGAAGGAGGAACTGAGGCTAGAGATGGGGCTCAGGGGTGAAGGGCACTCTCTGCTCTTCAGAGGACCCAGGTTTGATTCCCTGCACCCACATAGCAGCTTGCAGCCATCTGTAACTCCAGTTCCAGGGGCCCCGGCTCCGTTCTCTGGCCTCTGCTGGCACTGCAGGCACAAGATGCAGGCAAACAACCAGACCCATAAAGTAAAAATGAGGGGATTTGCTTTAGAGGCGGAGGAACTAGGCAGGGGACCATCCTTCACCAGCCGGAAATAACAGAAGATGTGCCTCCAGGAGACTCAGCACTGTCTTGTGAACCTGTCCATGTTTAGAGGCCCTTGAAGCTGCTCTTCATTGGCCCTGAGAAGTGAAAGTGGGTAGAGCTGGACACTGAGTGAGCAGAGCTTGGGCCTGGAGGCGTGCTGCATTCCTGGGGTGACCTTTTCCCTTCCCGTCCTATCTTAAGGGCAGTCTCAGCCACACAACCAGCAACCCTCAGCTGCAATCTCTAGGGACACTCAGCACTCTTTGGGGGATAGTTTTAGTTGTCACAGTTTAGGGTGCTTGGGCACTACTCAGGTATCTAAGTGCATATGAGATTCCCTGTTCCCCTTAGAATTATGGGAATCAAGAACTCTCCCTCTGGGAGAGTCCCCCCCCAATATGTCTTCCATCGACATAGAGCCTGAGTGGAGGTCTGGGGTTAGGGTTAAGTGCCACTGGGGGAAAGGGGACCATTTATAGATATTTCAGTTACTGGCTCAAATTCCAAAGGCATATTTGATATGACATACAATCTTTCTTGCATTCTAAAATTAAGTTGTGAGAGTGTTTAATCATATGTCACATTGATTTGGGCTCAGTGTCAAGCCTGTGGATTTGAAGTGTCTGATGTGGGAGTGCGTGGGCTTCCTCGGTGTCCTAGCAGGTGTGGGGGGATGTGCTCAGCCTGACACTATCTCATTAAGGGAGCCGTGTGTGCTTTTACTCGGGATGTGGGCTCTCTGTTGTCAAAAGCCACCCAGAGCTGGGAGGCCTGTCTCTGCACTCTGTGCTGAAGACAGCCGGGAGTTGGGCATCTATTTACAGAGCCCGCATCAGGGCACAGCTGCCATCACATGTTCTGTGAGTGCCACTTGTCCTGCTCAAAATGGAGATGTTACTATCTGAGGTTTCTCTTTTAACATTTTCCAAAATAGAAAGCCAAGTCCCAGACTTGGTTCACAAAGAGTAATCAAGACTCTATTTGGCAGCTCGCATGTGTGGGGCTGAATACTCAAGTGTTCCTGACGAGATGGCCCAGGGTGGGAGAGCTGGAAAGTCACTTCCCATGTTGCCTTGCTGAGTCAGACGTGGACTCGCTGAACTTGTAAATGGGGACTGTGGACCTGGGGACAGATGGGCGCTTGGTGGAGGGGCTGAAATGGAACCATGCTGACCAGGTGGTTTTAATGAGCAGCGTTTATTTGGGCTCATGATCCTGGAAGCCAGGAGTTCAGTGAGCAGCTTGAAGGATTTCCTACAGTGTCATTACAGGACGTGGCTGGGCGGGAGAGGGAAGCCAGACTCACCTTTCTGGCTGGCCCCTCCACAACAGCTTTAATCCTTCCTGGGGTTAGAGCCCTCCTGGTGTCACCTTTTAAAGGCCCCACCTCACAGGACAGTTAGGACATTTCAGCGGGACTCTGGGAGTGACCATCACACTGTGTCAGAGGTCAGGACTAACGGAGTCTGCTGGCTTTGCACTCACAGGCATGAGCATCCTTAAGTTCAAGGTCCTCTCCAACCCCTTAACCTTGAGAAACATAGTGGGGTGGAGGCAGTAGGATGGCAGATGGAGACGCCACCACTGACTTGGCATCCCTCTGCCTGGGCCCCGACGTACTGGTACTTCTTTGGGTTTGTCCAAGAGGGGCTGTCCAAGAGGCAGTTGGTGATTCAAAGGACATTGTCACCAGTAACATGTAAGCACTGTCTTCCGTGCTTTGGGCTTTTATTATTTTATGTATTTATCTGATGGTGTCTCGTGTAGTCTATGCTTGCCTGAAATTCCTCCATAGCTGAGGATGGCTTTGAACCTGGATCCTCTGCTCTTCTGCCTCCCTTGCTGGTGCACCACCATGCCTGACTTCTGTTTCCTCTTTGGAGCGCAGTAACTGCATGTTTCTTCTCCTTGGAAGCAAGGTGAAAAGGACATTTCCAGTCAAATCAGTTTAAAGATTATCACACATCCTTGGCCAGTGGCAGTTTGTCTTGTTTGAATTTTTGTTCAGTTAGTGCTCTTAGGAGATGGTGTAGCTGTGGTCATTCACCACGGTGCTGGGGCTCCCTCTCTTGTCCAGAGGGAGAAGGAAGGAGTCTAAAGGAAGGAGACTAAAACCTTCCCTCCAGCAGGAATGGCAGCCTAGGACAGGTGGGACTGGGACTCCCTCCTTTAGAGTTGCTTGGTCTCGACTTCCATGCACAGCTACAGTTGGCAGCTTTGGCCTCAGATGCTTCCCAGAGGATCTCATGTCAGTTTATGACTGACATACCTCGTACATGGGCGTGGCCATGGCAAAAACATGCCTCTGTCAGGAGACCTGGTCCTAGCCTGTAGCCCTTCATCAGCTTCTAGTACATCACTGGTCCAGGCTTCTAATTTGCATATTTGAAAGCTAGCTTCTACAGACTTTCCAGGAAACAAAAAATATGGCCCGCACTTGAAATCCCAGCACACTGGAAGCTAAGGTGGGAGAATGGAAGTGAGTTTGAGGACAGCCTGGGCTACATAGTGAGTTTAGGACCCACCTGGGCTACATAGACTCCCTCCACGTGTGTGTGTGTGTATATGTACTATATAACACTCTCAGATGTTTATGTAAAACTTCACATGAACACATCACAGACACTTGCTGACCCATGCTCACCACATCAATGCTCACAATGGCAAGGCTACTGAAGCAGCTAGGCATCCACTAACAAAGGCATGGATGAAGACAATGGAGCATTATGTTCTGCCATAAAGGATAACAAAGTTAAGCCGTTTGTAGTTAAAATGGCTACTCTGGAGCTAATCATTTAACGGCAAACTGAGTCTGTTCCAGAGACACAAGCATCATGTTGTCCCTTGTGGTCCCAGATTTTAATACACGTGTGGATTATAGGAGAGTATTGAAAACTGTGGAGCAGAGGGAGGAAAGGAGGGAACAGAGAGAAGGGGGAGTAGGGAGAGAGAAGGGGAAGCAGAGAGAGAAAAAGAGGAGCAGAGAGAGAAGAGAGAGCGGGGGAGAGAAGAGGGAGCAGGGGGAGAGAGAAAGAGGAGATTATAACATTGTATACACAGCTGAAAATGGCCTGGTGTAACTCTATATGAGAATAGTAGCTTGAAAAATAATAATAAAGAAGTATATATAATAAATAACACAGCAAAGAGGAGTCCTCGGCTTACCAAGCCCGGATGGGCTCTGACACTTTACAGCTGACCACAGTATTAGCACCTACTGTCTGCTGCCACTGTCTTTTGTCTAGATGTAAACACGGATGCTGAAGGTTTGTGGGAACAGCCAGCTCACATGGACTCCAGCTTTCTTGACTCACCCTGGGTAAAGCAAGACTGGGCCCGCTGGTGCTGTCCTTGTTACTGGGCTGTGTCATGCTGTGCGCCCTGGCTTCCAGGCTGATCCGCATTCTCTGCAGGGATTTGGTGCAGCACAGAGCTGCAGCTGCTGCAGCCCTCACCCTTCCTGACATGGCTGCCTGATGCCTGTGTCCTGCTGGTGACTTAGCTGGAGAAGCCGGTCTTATTGTCATAATGTCACTGCAGGCTGGACCAAGTGTGTCGTATCTGGCTCATTCAGGATATGGTCTCTGCCGTGGCTTTGTTTTGTTTTCAGAAATAGCGAATGTTTATCATCTAACTTCTGTACTTTACCCAAATATTAGTCGGTGCCTGTACCAAGTTAGCCAATGCCATGTTTTAATAGAGCGTTCTTTTTATGTCCACAGCCACAGCCCTTTCAGACAGCACAAAACCAAAGACAAGCACGAGATAGACCGCATGACCCTGACAGTGGTGAGATGATTGAGGATGGTTTCCGTGTTCTGTGTCTCGTTGTTACCGGCTAAATGTGCTGGGAAAGGCATAAGGTACCGCAGGGCTGGGGAGATGGCCCTGTGGATAAAGAATTTGTTCCGCGGACCTGAGGGTCAGAGTTCTGATCCCGAGAACCCCGTGGAAGCCGGATGCATTTGTAATAGCAGTCCTGCTGTGAGATGACCGCTGACGAGAGGAAAATCCACAGAAGGCTGTGGTCTCCTCGCCCTGGTGTGCCCAGCAGAAAGGCACCAAAGACACCAGGTGGATGATGAGGACAGTCACCCAAGACCGTCCTCTGACCCCCACAAGGGACCCACACCCATTTGAAACAAGCATGTGTTTGTGATATATAATACAAAAAACAATAAAGACAGATCAAAACCACAAAGTATTATATAAAACATATCATGTTATGTATACATACATATATAAAACATGAAATGTAAAATAACTACTTGACGATAAAACCATTCCTAGGGAAGTTTTGAGAGAAAGAGATGAGTGGAAGCATGCTCCCGGGCAAATGATGAGATCCGCAACTGAGCAGAATAAGCTGTGGCAGGTGGGGAGTGGGCATAGCCATCAAATAAACTAGCCCTGCCAACCTGCCGGAGGATTCCAAAACCAATCAATAACCGTTTTAGATTAATGCTAGCCTGTCGTGAATTCAGTTTTAGATAATCTCTTACCCAAGGAGCAGCCTTGACCTCTGGTTGGGTGTGAAGCCACTGCCTTAGGATGGGCCTTCAAAATCCATCTCTTCTCTCCCCAGAACGTGCAGCTTCCGGATGCCTTCTCCCCAGAACTGAGGTCCCTCCTGGAGGGTTTGCTCCAGCGGGATGTGAGCCAGCGGCTGGGCTGCTGCGGAGGCGGGTAGGCTATCTTTCAGCGCCTCCACTCTAAGGAAACCAGTAGTCTTTTATATACAGGCCCTACAAGCCCTCAGCATCTACTGGAGTGGGATTACATGGGGCGGGGTCACACGGGGTGGGGTTGCACAAGAGGAGGCCACACAGGGTGTTGGTTATCCATGCTGTTACCCTTACAATTCTAGACAGAAATGCCCTATGGAGATGTTTGCTTCTGCTTACAGTTTCAGAGGGGTCAGCCTGTCCCAGCTGGAAGCCAAAGCACAGGGGTTCAGTTCTCCGTGAGGGCATAGGCCGGGCTTGTATCTTAGCTGAACTGGAAGCAGAGATGGGGGAACTGGAGGATTTTTTTTTCAAAGTGAATTCCTTACTGTTAGAGACTCCAGCCTTCCAACATAGTATTAACATCTGGGAAAACTGTTCAAACAGAAGCTTGTGAGAGGAGGGAGAATATGGAGGAGGGGTGGGCAGAGAGGGGTACAGGAGGGGAGAAAATGAGGGGAGGGGGAGAGTAGAGGAAGGGGAAGAGATGACAGGAAGGGAGATGGAGGAGGGGGAAGGATGGGGAGAGAGGAGGACAGGAGAGGAGAAGATGGGGGGGAGAGGGAGAGAGATTGGACAGGAGGGGAGGGTGAGGGAGGGGAGGGGGAACATGCAGGGAGGAGAGAGGGAGGGGGAGAGATGTGAAGGAAATCATGAAGGGAAGGGGGAGAGATGGGGACCGGAGGGGAAGGGAACAAAGGGGGACAGAGGAGAGGGGGAGGAAATAGAGAGGAGGGGAGAGATAAGGGGTTTTCCTTTTTCCTCCCAAGTCCTGTGAGAACTGAGTGTGGTCTCAGTCCCTCCCTTTCACCATCCCCTGTTGCACTTGAGGTCCCTGGGTCTGGTGTTAGTTAACCTGACCCCAGCCCTCCACTTTCCGGGCCCCATCTTTAACTTCAGTATGTTCCCAAGTAGCCCCTTAGAGGGGGGCTGAGGAGTGAATACGGCCCCCCGAAACCAGCCTGATGTCGCAGCTGTGCAGAAGTGCTAAAGGTCTGAGGCTGTGGCTTTGGGCTGTCAGGGCTTCTCTGGATGCTGGGGGTGGGGCTTCTCCAAGACCGGTGTTCTTCAGCTGTAGAGATTGCCCCATCTCCCCAGCCTGTCGCATTCTCTTAGCACTCCTATGAGCACTGGCAGAATGATGCCCTGACCTTGTGTGTTCGCTGTCTCTCCCCTTTGATTCCTTGTTTTACTCTCTGATCATTTAGATCCCCAGCCTTTCTATTGATTTTGCTTTTTAAGAAGCTCTTTGACAAGTTTGGTTTCTCAAATGTCAAACCTTCCAGGGCCTTTGAAGCTTCTTGTTAGAATTCACATCTAGTTGTGGAGACTTGAGGATTCAGGGGTGGGAACAATGCTTGGTGTGTGGGTTGAGTGCACATGTGTGTCTATGTGTGTCAGCGATTCCACAGAGTTCCAGCACATACACACACACACACGCACATGCGCACACAGAGTCTGGGGGTCAGCACGTGCTCCATCCCCAGAGCAGCTGCTCTGCCACCCACCTGCACACCACCCTGTCCATCCCCAGCTACCTTTGGACAGCCCCTTGATGTGTCTGTGTGCTCCACCCTGCACTTCCTGTGACAGCAGGGAAAGGAAGGAGCCAGACTGGAGGCCCGCCTCCTCTCTAGTTCCTTCTGTCACGTGTTCAGCCTGCTGTGTGCAGACAGCAGCAGGTGCAGGTGAAGACAGAACAAGGCCCTTGGAATGTCGCTCCTGAGGACATGGTATCTGCTTTGCCTGGGGTCCTCCATCCATCTCTGAGCATTTGTTAAGTGATTCGGGTTGAGGAGGAACCGTGAGGGCAGCAGATGCAGCAGTGTGCTAGAGAAGGGATACTGAGCAGCATCCTTTGAAGAGAGGCGGGTCACAGGTCTGAGCGTTGCACGTAAAGGACCATACAGTGATCAAACCTGTGACTCGCCTTGCAGAGGGAGGGAGGGCTTGGAGGTGGGACCCCAAGCAGAGCGGAGAGGCTGGAGTCACCGAGGATGGAGGAGGGGGCAGGTGAAGAATAGCTCCAAGGGGCTGCATGCTCTGGATCTGGGGTCTTGGGAATGGATAGAAAGGGGGCAGGGCAAGGCTGAGGATCAGCCCACAGGAACCATTGCTGCTGTGTGTGGTCAACCTTGATCCTGACCTTCCAGGAGTTTGTTTACTCAGCTGAATGGGGGCGGGGGCTCACATTGTGCCATTTGAGTTTGTGATCTAAGTGAATGCTGGAGGCTTCACAGTCCTGCCCTCTTCCTGTCCTTCTGTCCATCATGGCTGATTGGCATTTGCTGGAGATACTTTAACACTCGGCTCTCCAGCATCACTCTTCTTCAGATTGTGTTTCATGTGCACCCACACAACATGGATGTACATGTGTGTGTCTGTGGGAACTGCCAGGCTGTCTTAAGCTACAGGATGCATCTGGACAAGGAGACATCTTCCCAGGTTCAGTGTTGATGCCTCCAGTTGCTGCAGCATTTTCTGTGTTCTCGGAAAGTAACTTCTTGCTTTTTTCTACATGTGTATGCATGTGAATCTGCGTGTGCACATGTGCTCTCATGCTTGTGCACATGTCTGCATGCATGTGTGTGAGCCCAAGATTGATGAGTGTCTTCCCCGATTGCTCTCTACCTTGTATACTGGAGCAGGTCCCCCCCCCCCCCCCCCCCCCCCCCGCCTCAGAGTTTTCTGATTGGCCTAGTTTAGCTAGCCGCGTGCCAGGGCATCCCCTGTCTCTGCTTCTTGCTACCCATGTCAGTCCGGCATTTACATGGGAGCCAGGGATCCAAACTCAGGTTCTTGTGGCTACATGGCAAGCACTTTACCCCCTGGGCTGTTTTCCAGCCTGCAATTGGTTTCTTAACGAACAGGGCCGTTCTCTGTGGGAGAGACACACTCTCTGGGAGACAGCGCAGCACTGGTCACATTTCCCATCTGACCCCTGCAGAACTCTCTCTCTCCCTCCTCTTCCCCAGGGCACAGGAGGTGAAGGAGCACATCTTCTTCAAGGGCATCGACTGGCAGCACGTGTACTTACGGAAGGTATCCCTCTGGGCCCTCTGAGCTCTCTGTCTGTCTCTCTGCTGCTGGCTTCCTAACTCTGCCCCTCCAGGGTCCCCACCCCAGCCTGCCATGTCTATATATTCTGCCTGGATGCATTGCCATGTAGGGGACTCCTACTGGGGAGGCTCCTTTTACTTATTTTTCTCACACGGGCTAGATGCGCCTGATTTTGCATCTGTAGTTCAACTAACCATGGATGGAAAATATTCAGGAAAAAAAAAAACACCAAAAAACATAAAACCGCTAGTGTGCTCAGCACATGCAGACTCCTGGTGTCAGATGACACAGGCTGAGCACTGTCTGCGAGCATTTATGCTGTCACCTCAAGACTAAAGTCTATGGGGAATATCTACGATCTATACACGTTCTGTGCAAACCCTTGCTGCTGTGTGTGAGGGACCTGCTCCTCAGTGGACTTGTCGCCAGGTGACGGCCTGGAAGGCCCTCTGCAGGCGCTGAGGGGCAGCCATCTAAGAATTTTGGAGATATCATCTCAGCACATGAATAGAAGGCCCAGGACAGAAGTTGTCTGCCTAATTGGAATATGTATAGAGTCAGCCTTCCGTATGCAAGGAACATAGACGTTTTTCTAGCCCTATACCGTCCTTTCCTGATTTTTACTTTTTTTTTTTAACTTTTGTTTCATGCTAGAGCCGAAACCAGGCCTCTCTCCACTAAGCCTGTCCTTTTTTCGTGCAGCCGTACCCTACCCCTTCCCCTTATTTTAAGCTTCGTTGTGCTTCTCTTTGGTACAGGAACACCCCAGTTGAATTTTTAAGTGTGTTTCTGTGTGAAGCCCAGCTGCAGAGTGACGGCAGTTCCTATGGGGAGGAGGGAGTGCCCGCCCACCCTGCCATGCTCAGGTCACCCGGGCAGCCAGCACTGATGAGGCTCAGGGTGATCTGCCCTCTCTGGGCATGTGCTTCCTGAAAACCAGGCTGTGTTCTTTTTATAGACTGTTATCTTGGGCTGGGGGCATACAGGGCAGCTGGTAACTGGGCCCTACCTACTTGTTGGATCTTCTAGTACCCACCACCCCTAATCCCTCCTCGGGGAGAAGTCAACGCTGCAGACGCCTTTGATATCGGCTCATTTGATGAGGAAGACACCAAAGGCATTAAGGTATGCACACTTCCAGGTATGGGATTTCGGCTATATTCACTGCGTATGGAGGGAACTGGGGATCGACTAGAGCCCTTGTACATGCTATACAAACACTCTACCACCAAGCTGCACCCCAACCCTGCACTCACTCTGCAGCCCAGCAAGCCCTGAACCAAAGGACCTCCTCAGCTCCCCCGCTGCTGGCGTAACAGGCCACCCCACCCTTCTAGCTTGAGGAGAGGAGACTCTATTGCACTTAGCTACAGTTTCAGTATTAGCACCTCCATTCAGCAGCAGCCACAGCTTTCTTTTCCCCATCATTTCACTTTGATGAGTGACAGGGTGCTCACTCGTGTTGTTATGTGTGGCATTTGCGGTTAGACTCCAGCTTGGATCTGTGGCAGGAATAACAACTGATTCAAACACATTCCACTCACACAGACACACATACCCATGCACCTTCATACACATGGACACACACAGGACCACACACACATACATACAAACAAATTTTAAAAGTCAACGTAAGTTCATTTTCCTTGACAAAAATACCCTAGTGTTACTGAAGACCAGAAGAATCCATGATCTTCGTGCGTCTAAGTCTAGGGATGTGGTTCCCAACCTGTGGGTTGTGACCCCTTTGGGAGTCAAATGACCCTTGGGCCCCTGAAGATCATCTGCATATCAGATATTTGCATTACAATCCATAACAGTAGCAAAATTACAGTTATGAAGTAGCAACAAAGTAATTTTATGTTTGGGCGTCACCACAACATGAGGAATTGTACCAAAGGGTCCCTGCTTTAGGAAGGTTGAGAACACTGGTCTAGGATCTGCCTGTGTCAGGAGGGAACATGCATACAGCAGGAATCTCTTTGCACATGTCAATCAAGGGTCCTCTGCATTTTTCAGACTTTGGTGCATGACTCTGTTTTTCCAAGTGGTGACAAGACATACTCACAGGGAGAGTGAGTCATGAGGAAGATCACCATCTATAAAATGCTAAGTCAGCGGGTCACCAGCCTGCCAGCCTGTCATCTGCCCTGACTCTGGGGCTTAGCCCAGCCCCGGCTCTTCTCTGGAGTTTATCCCAGCAGGGCCAGTTGCTCAGTTTCCCACCTGAAGGCCCCCTTCCAGCCACAGTGATGGTTCTGCATGTCAAACCCACACCAGCTACCTGGAGAGTGAATGGCGGGCTCTGTGACTGAGTCTGGCAGGGGCTGTCACAGGGACACTCAGAATGGGAGTGCTGGGGACAGAAGGAAGATAGAGCCTGGAGGGAGATGAAGCCTGGAGGAGAGGCAGCTGTGAGCAGGGGCAGCTAGGCGGAGCCACAGGCTCCTGGAGTGAAGGCTGACCCAGAGACCAGGGGGTGTTTTAGGAACTGTAGCAAAGCCACCAGCTCCTGGACCCCCAGGGCAGCCTGCCTTAGAGGACAAGACAAAGACAGTGCTGCTGTGAAGTGCACACCCTTCACTGCAGCTCCTGGGCTGGGCGCCTGCTCTCCAGCCACTTGTGTTTAAACATTCATCTGTGCACAGTGCTGGTGTTGGGAGGTCATACGATGCCAGCTGACCCAGCAGCCTGCTTTCCCGCTTTTCCACACCATGTGAGGGAGGTTGGTCAGCCGGCCCAGCTTTTCTCCCTTATCGGATTTTGAATACTATGCAGACCCCTGTCCCCATTTTTTTTTTTATAAATACAGCACCCACGGCTGAAAGTCTGCTTAGCTGCCAAGAGTCTCTTACTGCTTCTAAATAAAACACAGTGTGTGGGGCTGGAGGAGCACACAGTCAAGTGTTTGCTGCACACGAGCACCTGAGTTCAGAGCCCTAGCATGGGAGTAGAATTAGGCACAGTGATGCATACTCATAACCCAGCACTGAGAAGTGAAGGGGAGCAGAGACAAGAGGAAGCCTGGTGTCATTAGTCGGTAAGCTCCAGGTTCAGTAAGAGAGACTGTTCTCCACCTATAAATACATAACTATGTTGTGTTAGAGAAAGACTGTTACCTACCTCTGGCCTACTCACACAGACACACATACACATGCACCTTCATACACATGAACACACAGGACCACACACACATGCATACAAACAAATTTTAAAAGTCAACATAAGTTCATTTTCCTTGACAAAAATACCCTAGTGTTATTGAAGACCAGGCCCAGGCTGCCTGACCTTGGGCCAAGGCGAAACCTTCCCTGGTGTGGCCATGGGAGGCACTAGAGCGTGTGTTCCCCTGTCCTTACACACCTAGCTCTTGGACTGCGATCAGGACCTCTATAAGAACTTCCCACTGGTGATCTCTGAGCGCTGGCAGCAGGAAGTGGTGGAGACCATCTACGATGCCGTCAACGCCGATACGGATAAAATCGAGGCCAGGAAGAGGGCTAAAAATAAACAACTTGGTCAGGAGGAAGGTAAAAGGCTGTGGGGCTCACTGTCATCAAGTGCTTCCCAGCATAGGAAACAGTGTGCGGGCTTGGGTTTCACGTGGATTCCAAGGGCTGAGTCCGTCTCCAGGCAGATGGGAATGAACACTGAGGGAGGCATTGCTATCTGAGTTCTGGGGTCTCCCTGTTCCTGGGACTCTGCAGGGCAGCCTTGAGGATTCAGTCCTTGAAGATTGGACATTACAGAGTCAGGAACAGACCCAGTGAGATTCCAGATGTCTCGGTGACAGAAATGTACAGTCCCGCCACCTGTGTCCAGGACAAAGGCAGAACTAAATGTGTTTTAACTCTACCCAGAAATGCAAGCCCATGTCAGAAGGGCAGCTCTGTGGGCGCCACCCCTGCCTTCCTCTGCTGTCTTTTACTTTTTCTCCATCTCAAGGAACATGTGGGTCTCATCCTTTCGAGGGTTGTCTGTCCCCAGATTGTACATTCCCAAGGGCAGGAAGATTTTTGTCTCATCTTTATTGTTGTTCCTCAGTGGGCCCACCAAACACTGATCCATGCCTAGCCCCCATGGCATCATGGGTAGACTGATGGATGAGTGGGTGATTTTACCACATTGTGAAATGCCCCCACCTTAAAGACTCAGTCAGTGTGAGTCTGAGCTGTTGGACTCCGCTGTCTTTGAGGGCGGTGAGCCAAGGATGAGCCTGCAGTGACGGCCAGGAGAGTTTATAAGATGGAAGTCCTTTAACGGACTTTGAGAGAATTCACGATTAAATAGTCTCTTATTTAGTAGTTTGGGAACAAAATTTTGTCCGGTCTGAGTTGCCAGTATGTACTGTAGGTTCAAATGCCAAGAATCAAGGTTTGAACTCAGAGCCTGGAACCTTCTGAGCTCCCACATCCCAGTCCCATGTTTTAAAAAACTGAGATCATGGTGTTTAAAAAAAACGAATTGCTTTTGTAGAGACGTGTGCCCCCTGTCCAGCTCCAAAGCGTGTTATTAGTGGTGTTAGCTCAGGACCTGAGTGACCCTGTGTCTCCACCCTCAGATTATGCCCTGGGGAAGGACTGCATCATGCACGGGTTCATGCTGAAGCTGGGCAACCCCTTTCTCACGCAATGGCAGAGGCGCTACTTCTACCTGTTCCCCAACAGACTGGAGTGGAGAGGAGAGGGCGAATCTCGGGTGAGTTCTGGGGGTGGCACCTGTGCAGCTCTGGGGTGCTGGGGTTCTGGGGCTCCCTCACACTGCCTCCTGTCTGTGTCCCTTGTGTCTCAGAAGCAAGGGTTGCTATGGTCTAACTTTTAGTGTCTGTGCCAAGTTCCTTCCTGGAATAAAGACACAGGTGTCCTTTGAAGACAGAGTCCTGAGTGCAGCAGCCTCACAGAGTCAATGGAGGCTGGAGAGCGGAATGGTGGGATGGGAGAAGAGCAGAGCAGGAGAGGGCAATCCCAACTCATGGCTCCCAGGACTCAGCACACTCCAAGGTGCCTCTCTGGGCCTCAGTTTCCTCACTGAGAAGTGGGAGACACAGAAAGCCTCACAGCTCCCATAATCAAGGCACACTAACCCGAGGCCAGGCGTGATAAACAAACTTAGTGGTTAGCAGCTTGCAGGGTCCAACCCCAATTTACCGAAAGGAATCCAGGGCAGCCAAGGGCACAGCCAGCCTGCTGTGGGTGGAGAGGGCTGTTGACCCCGGTATGTCTTGGTCTCTCCCCAAGTCAGATCAGATGAAATGTCACCCGTGGGATCTGTTTAGGGTGGCAAGGACGCTGACCCAGGCTGTCTGCCCTCTGCTGGAATCTCAATCTCTCAGACCCTTTCTCAAGCTAATGGTGGCAAAGGGACAAGGCAGACTACTTCATTAAACACCCTCCGTGTGAGAGGCCCAGAAAGGAGCCCACCTGGGTAGATGGTGTGTGGTCTGCCATGAGGCAGGGCAGGGTTCATCACTGTGAGTGAGGCCTTGGTCCCCGGGGTCAGGCCATGGTTGTAATTAGGAGTCTGGGATGAGGATCAACAGCCTCTCAGCTTCAGAGGACCCGAGCAGGAGGCTCAGCTCTGCTGTCTTGACTTTGAGTCATGGTTTTTGAGAACTGCTCCTTATGAACAGTGGCAGTAGCCTGTGGTTACTTCCCGGTTGTGCCACAGGCCTTTTAAAATTAAAATATCTTAGATTTGCTTCCTGCGCCTAGATGCAGCTCTGTGCTGGCAGGTATTGAAGTATCTTCCCAGAGCCTGGGCAGGCAATCCTCTCAAGCCTCACTGTGCAAGGCCAAAGAAAACTGTCACAATTGCAACAATGTGTCTTTTATTATTACTATTATTTTCTTTGGACATTCAGTATTCTGTGTGAAGCTAGGCAGTGGGGAGGTAGATCTGTAAGAATGAACAGAGGGACAGACAGCGTGGGAGTTTCTCACGTTTTCCACTCCAGATTCCTTAGAGTGTATCTAAAATATAAACAAACAAACACTGCCCCTATGTAACCGCACTGGGGCCTGCTGAGCCTTCACACTAGATCTGCTGTGAGCATCCTGCAGGACCGCCTCCTGTATTTAGATCTTTCAGATGTGGATCTAGTGTCTTAGCCCATCCATGCCTCAGCTGTCACCCACCACTGTTCACTGTTCTGCTGATGGCTAGACAGCGGCAGATGTCCCTGCCATGTGGCCCTGTACTTTCATGGCTTTCCACACCAACACTGTAATCCAGAACCCTGGGTGGTGGGGCCCTCACAGAAATGGTGCTTCCTTGGTTACTTTGAACTTCTTTTTGTGTCCTTTGTAGCCCTTCTTCTCATTTCTAGAATATCAGCCAAGAAAGAAAAAGAAGATGTCATTGGCTTTTCAAAATTCACCCTTTAGTTTGCTGGAAGAGATCACAAAGTAGCAAAGTGATTAATTGTTCACTTTTCCCGTTTGTATTTAGCAAAATTTACTGACCATGGAACAGATCTTGTCAGTGGAGGAGACCCAGATTAAAGACAGAAAGTGCATTTTATTCCGAATAAAAGGAGGGAAACAGTTCGTCTTGCAATGCGAGGTGAGCTTTTATTGGCATTCTCTGGAATAACAACAGACAGGGATGACGGATTCCCGGGGCTCTTGCCAGATCCCCAAACTTCTCCTTGCCTCTCTCATAGACTTAGCTGTAAGGTTTAGGTCAATTAAGTCCTGGTAAACTAACACAGGTAAATTTGTGTTAGTGGAGAGGATAGTTGAGTCTGGGGACTGCCTGGGGCAGGCAGAGCTGGAGTCTGCTCTCCTGGCTAACTTATCTCTCTGATCTCTGAGATTCCGAAAAGACTTTTCCAGGGGGACTATCTTTGTTTTTTTCTGAGCTGTAGTATAGCTCAAGTTTCATCATTTTATACTTTTCCTTGGTGTACTAAGGTGTGTGCACATGTGTTTTCACAGGATGAAGGGAGAGGAACTGGTAGAACAAGGACACCCGTTAGCTTGTTGTTGAGACAGGGTCTTGCTACGTAGTCCAGGCTGGTAGGGAACCCGGGACTCTGTGACTTGGCTCTCCCAGTATTGGAATTACAGGTGGACACAGGAACTTCAGAACTACCTTAGACATATGAGAGGGTGTCTTACCGTATCAGGACCCTCTCCCCTGTTCTTTATTCTATAGGCTGTGGTTTTTAGGACCCAGAGAAAATCCCCAACTAGATCAAGGCAGTAGATAGGATACAAGGGATACACTGGGAGAGCCCAGAACTGACTCTGAGTTTCTTACCACGCTGCAGGGGACCTGAAGGAAGAAGCAAGGCTTCAGGGCTGGCAGGCAGGATGTGTCCTCTTTCAGGCTCCAAACACTTTTGTAGATACTGTTGGCAGATGGGTAGACAGGTTCCAATTCCTGCGTGTTTCTCTCTCTGTGCAGAGTGACCCCGAGTTTGCACAGTGGCTGAAGGAGCTGACGTGCACCTTCAATGAGGCCCAGAGGCTGCTGCGCCGTGCCCCCAAGTTCCTCAACAAGCCCCGAACCACCATCCTGGAGCTCTCCAAGCCACCACTGTGCCACAGAAACAGCAGCGGCCTCTAAACCACAGAGCAGCAAGGCCCGCAGGAGGGGCCCCGGCTCTTCAGTGCAGGAGTGGAATGGAGCCACGGGGAGCCGTGTGGAGCTGAGACACAACGGTTCTGAGCACCGGGCTGCTCCGGGCTGGGGATGCCCACGACACCAAGATGGCCTTGCAGAAGTTGGGACAACCTCTGGGCTGGCCTGTCTACAATTGAAATTACTGAAGAAGCAGAAGGCATTTTTTCTGCATACCCACTTACTTTGGTACCCATGGCCTCAGAACAGGAAATGACCTTTATCACTCAAGCGTTTGTGTCTGGCATCGAGCCTGTCTGGGATGGGACCACAGTGTCTGGGGCTGCAGTAGCCTGTCCTAGGCACCAATGTGTCTGAGTGCCTGCCTGGAGTTTGGGGGTGTGTGGCTCCAAATCCTGGAGGAGGCACAGTAGCCTGGGGTCTCTGTAGGTCAGGGATAATTCCTGTTTGTCCCAGAGGTGATGAGGTAGCACTGAGTGGCACGTACACTGCCTGCCTCTGGTGGCTCTGCTCTAAGGATGTCAGTCAGAGAGCAGAGGTAGGAATGTCCCTTTGAGGAATGGCCACCTTCTGGTCAACGTGACCAGAGGAGATGCCCCAGGACTTCAGGTCAAGCAGGATGTAGGTAACCTACCAGGCACGTGCTTGGGGTCTCCATGAGGGGCAGGTCTATGACAGAGTCGTGCTCCCTCTGCCAGGCCTGGGAAGCATATCCGAGGACATGCCTAAGGCAGAAGAGTATAATTTATAATGACTCACACTGATGGGTGGCAGTGTCCAGCGGTCTCCCGTGCGCCCTGGCATGCCCCACATCCTTCTGTCATTGATGCACTGTGCACTGGGTTATTCTCATGGGGGCGGCAGTTTGCCCAGCACCCTTCCCCTGAAAGTTACTTCCTCCACCGCTGCCCCAAATAAATGCTGGGTTCCTGTGTCACCGCCCTGAAACAGAAGTCCTTGAAGGGCTCCGCGGACTTGTCCAGCTCCTGGGGGCTATGTTTCTAGATAAACTGCTGAGCACGTAAGAACCTGACATTGAAGTTCTTTGCATTCTGTCCTAGATCTGACAGTTCCCAGTGTGTACCCTTGTGTTTCTATGCTGGGAAAATACGGTGTTTATTTATTTATTTTTAACATTGCAATGATCTTTTGAGAGTTTGGAAGATAATTTATCTGTTACTATGCAGGTGCGTGGGGGAGTTGTGGGGCTCAGTGCCCATCTCGTTGCCCATTCAGGGTTTGAGTCCACATCCATGTACCCCTGTTCACTGCCTCTAGTGTGGGAATATGGCTGCAACCTAGCACAGGCACCCTGCTTGCTTAAAGAGAATGGTGTTCAGATTCTATTGCACATATGCACATGCAGTTAAGTGTTGATGTTACTGTGTGGGTGTGGCTGGGGTGGGCAGCTCACACAAGCTCAAGCAGACCTGCAGGGGTGGGAGCTGCATCTCTGGCCTTTTCAGGGGGATATACAGTACCCTCTGCCAATCAGGAGGGTGGCTTGACCCCAGCCAGCATTGGGCTAGCCAGACTAAATTTTGTATGGGGTTATAGCTGTACCAAAGGGTTTTTAAAGGTGACAGAGGATCATGGGTTCCTGTACCTACATGATATTGAGCTACACTCTCACAGACATCATGTGTTACCATCTTGGCTGAGCCAATTTGAAGACTCTTTTCCCTTTTAGAAAAGAATTGTGTGTGTGGAGAGAGGCTCTCCTCAGAGCCCTTTGCCTCAGACTTACTCCAGGTAAACCATTTTATCCCATCAACCCCATTTCCCTCATGAGGACACAGCTGAGGGAGGGCAGATGGCCCTTGCAGTAGGTCCTCAAGATTCCCGTGGCAGTGATGGGTCCTCAGAGGCCGTCTTTCCACCCAAGCACGCGGTGACGGGGTGGCCGCATCAGGGAAAGCCGCTGAGTTTACACTGCTTGGCTGTTTGAGGGTTTCTGTCATGTTGGTGGGTCCCTGGATGTCAGATGGTTCTATACATTAACAGAACGAGTCCGTGCCTTCTCCTGGTTCCAGTTTCTGGGGAAGAGTACTTAACACGGTCAAAGACATTCCAGGAGATGCTGCTTTAATACAGTTCTGTTCTAAGCAGACCCGGTTCCATAAACAAGACTGTTAGATCACTTTAAAGCAGCCGTGTGACACACGCTAAATCGAAGCCTGTGGCAAACCCCAGTTTATTTTTATTTTTTTAACCTGAACTACCCTCTTGCTCTTGGGGCTCCATGCGCATGCCTCCGAGACATGGTTAAGTGTGATACTTCGGCAAAGTCTGTAGAAATTGTCTCACTGTCACGGTTGACAGGGGAACCTGTCTCACTGTTGACACAGGGGTCTGCACACTGATGGCTCTGTTGATTGATATTACAAACTGTAAAACCAGCAGCGAGCGCAGTGTGGATGGTGGCTTACCGGGGAGAGATGATATCTTTCAAGAAAGATAGCTTTGGACAGACTTGATTCAGCAGGATCATGAGCCCAGCCTTGATTGGCAGAGGCAGGAGGCTTATGATTTTGAGACTAGCCTGGGCTACATAACAAGGCCTTGCCTTCAGAACACCAAGGACTTTGGCAGTAGCTTTGGGGCCACACTCTTGGCTCTCATGTTCATGGTTCTAGGTTTAATCTCCAGTGGGGGTGGAGGGTGGACAGCCAACTGTTAGCCATCTAATAAGACTTAGCCTGAGTAGCCCCTTGTCCTTTGCCATGTGCCTATTAGGAGCAGCTATTCTGAGGCCCCACTAGCCATGACTGTTCACCAGTAGGCAGTGTGGCAAAGGGTCAGAGCTCCCCAGGACAGGAGCGAGTCTGTTTCATATTCCTGAGAGGCCAGTGGAATCTGTGGTGGGCTCAGGGCAGGCGGAGAAGGTTTGCTTGGTCAGCTGATGAAAACCAGACTCTTGGACATGAAAAAGCACCAAGGAAGAAAGGATGGATGGACACTAGTGGGAGACCCCCTGGGAATTCCCGAGTGATGAGTTCCAGAGGCTGAGTTGCTCCCCTCATGAAGGTGTCATGCGTTCTTCCCTGGACATTCCCAGGGAGGTCCCTCATCGGCGGTATATCCCTGGACCCTGAGTTTGTCACCTTACACTGTGTGCTGTGTAGCCCGGGCAGAGAGAGACAGTGTCCGGTCACTGCTATTGAATGTGCTGCCGGGGTTGGGGGCAGTGTCCCAGGATGACACCATGGCCTTTCTGCGTGTTTAACTCCATTTCCACTTTGAACTTTGACAAATTTTAATAACAAAAACAAAAACAAAATTTCTTTTCCCGAGTGAGGCTGACCTGAAAGTTGCTTGCATTTGTGTTAACAGGACTGTTTTATTTTATTCAGGCCTCATTCTCATCTGCTTGTTTGTTGCTCTGGGATGAAGAAAGCTGAGCTGTAAGCCTCCTCTCCTCAGTTGTGATGGACCTTAAGGTTTTCCTTGCTCATTCACTTGTTTACTTAAATAAGAGAGAACTGAGCACAACGTCTCAGATCCCACAGCCTTAGTATTCAGGACACCGAGACAGGAAGCTGACAAGTCCCAGGACAGCCTTAGAACTAAGTAACTAACAGAATCAGAGTTGTTGTTTTCTGACCCAGAACAAGTGTGAGCACTCAGCCAGCAGCGGGGAGGTGCTGTCCTGAGATGTGGCGCGGAAAGTGGGTTCAAAGTGTGGGCTGTCATGAAGAACAAAGACCTTCTCATAGTTAGTCCAAACCCGTGGCTAGAGTGAGGTCCCCAGCGGGGTCCTTTCTGAAACAAGTACCTAGCCTCCTACCCTTTTCATTTGGCCCTAGAGAGAAAATGTCTGAAGGTGGGGTGGGGGTGGAGCGATCATTCCAGTCGTCAACTGTGATTTGTCCGTTTGTTTCCTTGGTTGTTTACCGGCCCTTGGTTGTACGTATTGCATGTGGTTTATAAACTCAACACTGGCCTTTTTTTTTTTAGTTCTGTTATTAAATTATATTTTTCTATGTTCTAGGTAATAGCAGACCTGGCTTTTTCTGGGTAACAGAGATGGATGGACCTGTAACTATGAGACAAGAGTTCTATTTTAGCACAAAAAGCATTTTATATTATTTATTGAATCCGTATGTGTGTTCCCATGGAAACCATCTGTATTTTACTGCTCCTTGTGATCTGTATAGTTTGTTATTTAAAGAGAGATGGCAGCCTTTTGTGTTGTTGAAACAATAAAACCGAGCTCTGATGAGCAGCAGCGTGAGGTTGTTGTCTCATTTCTCTGGCTTGGGCTGTCCTCAACTGCGGTGTGTACATGGGTTTATAACGCATCACGGTGGCTTGCAGAAGCTTGATCTCCTGTCCTTCCTCCTTAAAAGGCACTGAGAGTGCTGTGCCCAGGCTGACTACCAAACATTTCGGAGAATGACCTCCTGTCACTTCATCAAGATGCTGATCTGGTTTCAAAGCCAGCCGTGTCTACCCTGCAAGCTGGGCGAACAGAGTTCTTCTCTAGCCAGCATGGCCTCCTGGGACCAGGGATGTCCAGCACACTTCAGCCTTCTTGCCGTGTGCTGTCCCCCTTGGTCTTAGTGGCCTCCGTGTACAGTAATAAATGGCACCAGCACAGCCCTGTTTCCCTGTCTCTTACGCACAGCAAGTTGTGTGTTAGAATGATTGGGGGAGGGGCTCGTTTGCCGGGGTTTTCTTACCCCTTTATGTTCAGTGCTTGCCACTTTAAACCACTTTAAACACGGCTGCCTGGGCAGAACTGTCTGCTGTGGGCCCATGCCAGGAGCCCATGCCTCCTGTCTTTGAGCTGGACAGGAGATGCCCTGTATCTCGCTGATTTGGTAAGAAAGGAAGTGACCACTGACCTGGCCAGGTCACTACTGAGACTCGCTGGAGTGTCTTGGTGCAGACTTTAAAACTCATCAGCCAAAGAGCCGTCAGGAGACCCCAGTCTGGTGACCCTGGTCTGGTCTGTGCAGCCGCCCTGCGGGCACAAGACACTGCCTTGTGGATTGTGGATGTGTACGTCTGTAACCAAGGCCGAAGAGCTCTTGGCCCTCGGGAACGCCATGCAAATGCCACCACCCCTGAACTGGCTTCTCTCCGAGGACACTCAACTCAGCCCCTAGCCGGTCACTGTGAATGGCACAGCTTGTGTTTTCTGTATGTGTTGTATGCGTGTGTATTGTCCCCTGGACTTTGTTTTTACTATGGGAGAAGCTTGAATATATTCATCAGGCTGTTTGAAGGTAGTCTCGATGTGATGAGACAGTCACGAGGGTGTCACCACGTGGGATGGAGGAGCAGACCCTCAGGGTTCTAACCGGGAAAACACACACGCACACGTGTCAAGCAGAGCAGTGGGGTAGGCCACCCGCAGCAGTCCCCACACAATCTGAGCACTTGTGTGTGTTTGCTTCCCTCAAGTTGCCCACTGTGCATTTGTGTTACTCGTGTGACGCCCAAGAGCCTCCTCCATGACTGTACCCATAGGCTTGCGAGTGTCTGACTTGGGACCAGCTCATAAACTGGGTCTGTCCTGGTGACCTTTGGGTAGGAAAAGAAGGAAATTAGTGTATTTTGTCCTCCCCACAGTAGCTTTGGGCCAGCTGTCCCCTCAGCTGTCAATGTCACTCCCTCTACTCTACGTGGCTTCTTTGCCTTCTCCATTACGGTCTGAGAGGCTGGTCCTGCCTCTGGCCCCTCAGGTCTCCCTCTCCTAAGTGCTGCTGTGACTGTCCAGAGACCCTTTCATCCTCTACACATGGTGGACAATTTGGGAAGTCTTTCAACTCCTGGTGTCACGCATGCGCATCTGTCCTCACATGCTGGCGTCACGCGTGCGTATCTGTCATGTGCTAGCGTCACGCATGCGCATCTGTCCTCATGTGCTGGTGTCACGCATGCGCATCTGTCCTCATGTGCTGGGGTCACGCATGCGCATTTGTCCTCATCTGCTGGTGTCACGCATGCGCATCTGTCCTCACGTGCTGGCGTCATGCGTGGGCATCTGCCCTCCTCTGCTTCCTATTGCTCTATAAACACCATAACCAAGGCAGCCTGGGGAGGGAAGGGCTTCGTTCATCCTGGACTCTCTGGTCACAGTGCATCACTGGGGGAACTTAGGGCAGGACCTGGAGGCAGGCACTGCGGCAGAGGCCACAGAGGAACATTGCTTACTGGCTTCATCCCCATGGCTTCCTCAACCTGCTTTCCTATACAGCCAGGACCATCTGCCCAGGGGTGACACCACCCCATGGGAGGACCCACAGTGGGCTGGATCGTCTCATATCCATTGTTATGCAAGAAAATGCCCCATATGTTTGTCTTATGTGTTGGGGACATTTTCTCAGTTGTGAGTCCCTCTTCTCGGGTGATTCGAGCTTGTGTTCAGTTGGCACAAACCCAGGTACCACAGGCCCTTGGTGCAGTTAGTGCACAGAGTTAAGTTTGTGACAATTTGATGTAATGTGCTATGACAAGGTGGGACTCCCCCAAAGACTGCCCCTTCCCCAGGCCTGGGATGGGAACTTCAAAGAAGCAGGTTCTGAACCTTGATACTGTGGACCTAAGAGACCACGCGACTCACTGGGGGGACACCAGGTGTTGTGGAAGTAAATGCACAAACCAGGGTCTCCAGACACTGCTGTAGGTCCCTTAGGTACAAAAGGGGCAAAATCACTCCCAGCTGAAAGGCCCAGTTTACAAGAGGGTGGCTGTTGCCACGTTGAGGTTAAGACTGGGCCTGACTCGTGGGTGAGTGTTGAGGTCAGGTTTAGTGTCTGGAGCCTTGACTTCTCTGAGATGATGTGAGCTCACATGGTTACAGCGGCCAAATCTTCAGGCCAAGAAATCAGCATGGGACCTGACTCCTAGAGTTTACACTGCCCTGAGCCAAAACTGAAGGAGCTGTGGCCATTAGATGGTAGGAGGGGACCTGCCCAGTATTTCTGACACAGGTCAAAGCCACAGGACACAGTGAGGCAGGAACAGGCAACTCCACGCCTCTCCTTCAGTGCAGGGTGAGCTCATGGCTTTTACGGTGCCTGTAGGTGCAAGGGAGAGTGAGCAGAGCCGTGCTGCCAGGCCACAGTTTGCCAGGGTCATCCATGGCCACCTGGGCACTGGGCAGAAGCAATGGTGTAGATAGTAGACATGCATACACCACCACCTTGTCAAAATCGTCATGGGTGACCTTGACCGCTGTCGTGGGCCAATCAGATCTTTCCCAGGAAGACTTATTGGCCCGGTGGCTCGGTCATCAGATGTTCTCAGCTGTCATCTCCTTTGGGGAGGCCTCAGCAGCAGAGTGCCCTTGCTCAGCGCCATGCCCTTCTGCAGGCTGTTTCACACTGGTACTCAGGAATGTAACAAAAACATATCCAGAAAGTGCACTGGGGTTGGCCAAGGTGGTCCTGGGACCTCCCTATGCCAAGTCTGGATGCCATTCCCAGGATTCAGACACATGCTCCCTGTAACCTGTTCTCAGGGCTAGGTCACAGGGAAACCGGTTTGCAGCTCTAATACAGTACTGGGTGGATCCCCTCAGAGATGGATGGAACTGCCATTGGTGTGATGAGTCACTTCCCTCAAAGGATGGCAAGTGACAGGTGAAAATGGGTGGCGGGAAATGGGACTCAGACATTGAATGGTGAAGACACTCTACCAAATAACACGATGACCCTCTTTCCTGGTGACAGTGGCTTGTGGGACCTACGGAACCCAGCATGGCAGCTTCTGGGTGTTTCTTTTTTCCCTCCTCTCCTCCCACTTGGGGAAGGAAGACTGGAGTTGGGGGCGGGGTGCTTGGCGGATGCCACATCCCTGCTTTCCAGCTCCAGTGTGATTTGTCAGCCCAGGGGTCACACATCCACCTTCCACAGGCATGTGTGGTCACTTGCTTTGGGTGGATTGTGGATGTTAACACAACCACATAGGATACTACCAGCCTGGAGCCCAGAGAATCACTTCTGCACCCTAACTCACTGCTTACGGCCCACCTTCAGGCTAAGAGGGGAGCCAGAAACAGCCTGGGTGATTCATATTTGAATACCATGGAGTCCTCATGGGCTTGGAAATACAACTTGAAGAGATGCCCACAGCAGCTCATGCCACACACTGGGACCCTTGGGTGCCCACAACCCCATGTTTGTTATCTAAATGGTCATTCTCACAGAAGGCCCCCTATGTGCCAGTGAACCTGTGAGAATTATGGATGCTCAGGGGGTACACTGGCTTATTTTATGTCAACTTGACACAGCTGGAGTTAGCTGAAAGGAGGGTAACTCAATTGAGAGGACGCCTCCTTAAGACCTGGATGTAGGGCATTTTCTTAATTAGTGATTGATCAGGGACAGCCCAGCCTATTGTGGGCAGGGCCACCCTGGGCTGGTGGTCCTGGGTTCTGTAAGAAAGCAGGCTGAGCAAGCCTTAGAATCAAACCAGTAAGCAGTACCCTTCCATGGCCTCTGCACCAGCTCCTGCCGCCAGGTTCCTGCCCTGTTTGAGTTCCTGTCCTGACTTCTTTCAGTGATGAACAGTGATGTGGAAGTGTGAGCTGAATAAACCCTTTTCTCTCCAACTTGCTTTGGTCACGGTGTTCATCACAGCAACAGAAACTTTGACTAAGTCAAGTTGATAGCAAGATAAGGGGGCATTGCTGTGTCAGTCCTGACCATGTTGGTTTTGAGAGGACTTTGGGACTGGATTAGAAAAGCCATTGAGTGCCGAGAGCTCAGCGGGCTGTTTGTGGGAGCTTGGATGAGGGGAATACTGAGAGCAGGGCAGACGATGGAGGCCTGGCTCGTGAGGTGTCAGAGGGAAGCAAAGACTCTACCAGGCCAGTTTCTGGGGCAATGGCTGCTGGTCAGATGGGGCTGAAGGACCAGCTGCCATAAAGAAGAGATCAGTATTATTGATATAACGTCTTCTGGGACACAGAAGCTAGGGTCCAGAGGCAGCCAAGGCTGTATGTACCTCATGCTGGCAGCTGAACTTGGTAGTGCAAGAACCACCCAGGTGGTGCTGGCTTTGAAGGTCTGACGGGGTCATGGAGAGCAACTGAGGCCTGGTGCTGTGTGGCAGGGCTGGGGTCCCCGAAGAGAGCCCAGGAGAGGCCAGCGGTGAAAGTGCAGCCCAGTTGCAGCAGAGACCCAGGAATTTGGAGACGCCAGTACCATGGGATGGCCACCAAGAACAGCAGCAGTGGAGGAGTGGAGCCAGCCTGGGCCTGGAAGACAAG